CTGCTGTGCGGCAGACAGCTGTGTCCCGTGTGTCACAGCGTGCGTACCTGCTGTGCGGCAGACAGCTGTGTCCCCGTGTGTCACAGCGTGTACCTGCTGTGCGGCAGACAGCTGACTGTCCCCGTGTGTCACAGCGTGTGTACCTGCTGTGCGGCAGACAGCTGTGTCCCCGTGTGTCACAGCGTGCGTACCTGCTGTGTGGCAGACGGCTGTGTCCCCGTGTGTCACAGCACGTACCTGCTGTGCGGCAGACAGCTGACTATCCCCGTGTGTCACAGCGCGTACCTGCTGTGTGGCAGACAGCTGACTGTGTCTCCGTGTGTCACAGCACGTACCTGCTGTGTGGCAGACAGCTGTGTCCCCGTGTGTCACAGCGTGCGTACCTGCTGTGCGGCAGACAGTTGTGTCCCCGTGTGTCACAGCGTGCGTACCTGCTGTGCAGCAGACAGCTGACTGTCCCCGTGTGTCACAGCGTGCGTACCTGCTGTGTGGCAGACAGCTGTGTCCCCGTGTGTCACAGCGTGTACCTGCTGTGCTGCAGACAGCTGACTGTGTCCCCGTGTGTCACAGCGTGTACCTGCTGTGCGGCAGACAGCTGGCTGAAGGTGGCGATGCTGGCCCCCTGTGCGGCGCATGCCTCCTCCGCTTGCGTGCGGTTCAGAAGGTACTGCCCCTTGGCGGAGCGCACGTGGGACACTCCGGCCACGCCCTCTACGAGGAGGGGAGAGGGGCAGCCAGGGGGTCAGCCAGGGGGCAGGTCAGATCTCACCGTGAGTGCACTTGCTATTCAGGACGTTGTTATCGCGCAAGGCTACCACTAAGGCAGGCGCCATGTCTCACAGACGACACTAACGAGGCGGTACTAACGAGGCGACACTAACGAGGCGGTACTAACGAGGTGGCACTAACGAGGTGACACTAACCAGGTGACACTAACGAGGCGACACTAACGAGGTGGCACTAACGAGGCGACACTAACGAGGTGGTACTAACGAGGCGACACTAACGAGGCGACACTAACGAGGTGACACTAACGAGGTGACACTAACGAGGCGACACTAACGAGGTGGCACTAACGAGGTGACACTAACGAGGTGGCACTAACGAGGCGACACTAACGAGGTGGTACTAACGAGGCGACACTAACGAGGCGACACTAACGAGGTGGTACTAACGAGGCGACACTAACGAGGCGACACTAACGAGGTGGTACTAACGAGGCGACACTAACGAGGCGACACTAACGAGGTGGTACTAACGAGGTGACACTAACGAGGCGACACTAACGAGGCGACACTAACGAGGTGGTACTAACGAGGCGACACTAACGAGGCGACACTAACGAGGTGACACTAACGAGGTGACACTAACGAGGCGGCACTAACGAGGCGACACTAACGAGGTGACACTAACGAGACGACACTAACGAGGCGGTACTAACGAGGCGACACTAACGAGGTGACACTAACGAGGCGGTACTAACGAGGTGACACTAACGAGGCGGTACTAACGAGGCGGCACTAAAGAGGTGGTACTAACGAGGTGACACTAACGAGGCGGTACTAACGAGGCGACACTAACGAGGCGGTACTAACGAGGTGACACTAACGAGACGACACTAACGAGACGACACTAACGAGGCGGTACTAACGAGGCGACACTAACGAGGTGGTACTAACGAGGCAACACTAACGAGGCGACACTAACGAGGTGGCACTAACGAGGCGGTACTAACGAGGCGACACTAACGAGGCGACACTAACGAGGTGGTATTAACGAGGCGGTACTAACGAGGCGACACTAACGAGACGACACTACCGAGGTGGCACTAACGAGGCGACACTAACGAGGTGACTCTAACGAGGCGGTACTAACGAGGTGACACTAATGAGACGACACTAACGAGACGACACTAACGAGACGACACTAACGAGGTGACACTAACGAGGCGACACTAACGAGGCGGTACTAACGAGGCGACACTAACGAGACGACACTAACGAGAAGACACTAACGAGACGACACTAACGAGGTGGTACTAACGAGGCGACACTAACGAGGCGACACTAACGAGGTGACACTAACGAGGCGACACTAGCGAGGCGGTACTAACGAGGTGGTACTAACGAGGCGGTACAATGCAATGAAACACAATGCCTTCTCACGATTGAGCAACCGGCGGTGTCACCGTTTGAATCGTGGTGAGCAGCACGGGCGGTGACGCCGGGACGCCACGGCCCTGCTGCTCCCCGCAACGACGTCACGGGGCTCCTCACGGGCCACCGGTACGCGCAGCATTCACCGGGGTGGCCCGCTGGTGCCGGACCACCAATCTCCGGCCAGCGTGCTCACTCTAGAGCGGGGCCCAGAGTCCTTCCTCCTCCGCGCGGAGCCCATACACCCGCTCGCCCGCTCGCTCACCCGCTCGCCCGCTCGCTCACCCGCTCGCTCACCCCATCGCCCGCTCGCTCACCCGCTGACCCGCACGCCCGCTGACCCGCTCGCCCGCTCGCTCACCCCCTCGCCCGCTCGCTCACCCGCTGACCCGCACGCCCGCACGCTCACCCGCGTGGTGGAGGTCGGTGCAGGTGGCGTCGGGGTGGCACCGTCCGTTGTCCACCAGGCAGCGGTCGATTGGCGGTGCCGCCACGGGCAGGCACTGCTCCCCGTTGCCCACGAAGCCGGCGCCGCACGTGCACCGCCGCTTGTTCTGCGCCACCCCCACCACCGGGCACGCAAAGGCAAAGGTCACCCGCCGCGTGACCTTTAACGGCGGGGCCACCGAGGCAAGTGTCACGGTTGGCTACGTGCGGAGCGGAAGACGCTCAACGTACCCGGAGAAAACCAAAACCACAAACCCCACGCACGTCAACGGGGCCCGCGTCAGCGGCTCACCGGTCCCGTCATGGTGCACGCCGCGTTCTCGCTGCACCCTCCGTTGTTTTCGTTGGCGCAGCGGTCCTGCCAGCGGCACACGCGCCCGTCGCCCTCGTAGCCCGTGCGGCAGCGGCACTCCACCTTCGTGCCCTTCTGGTAGCAGCCGGCCCACTTGTGGCAGCCGCCGTTGGCCTGCTTGCACAGGCTCACCACTGACTCGCGCCCACGGGGAGGGAGGGGCGAGGGGTGGAACCGTTATCGCCCGTCTCGTTCGCATCGTTCGTCCGCCCTGTTCGTGCCGTTCGCCCTGTTGGCTCCCGTCCTGTTCGTATCAACCGCCCTGTTAGTACCGTTCTGTTAGCACAGTACCGTCCCATCCTGTGAGTACCGTCCTGTTAGTACTTTCCTATTAGAACCGTCCTGTTAGTACCGTCCTGTTAGTACCGTCCTGTTAGTACTGTCCTGTTAGTACCGTCCTGTTAGTACCATCCTGTTAGTACCATCCTGTTAGTACCATCCTGTTAGTACCATCCTGTTAGTACCATCCTGTTAGTACCATCCTATTAGTACCGTCCTGTTAGTACCATCCTGTTAGTACCATCCTGTTAGTACCGTCCTGTTAGTACCAACCTGTTAGTACCATCCTGTTAGTACCATCCTATTAGTACCGTCCTGTTAGTACCATCCTGTTAGTACCGTCCTGTTAGTACCATCCTATTAGTACCGTCCTGTTAGTACCATCCTGTTAGTACCGTCCTGTTAGTACCATCCTGTTAGTACCGTCCTGTTAGTACCATCCTGTTAGTACCATCCTGTTAGTACTATCCTGTTAGTACTTTCCTGTTAGTACCGTCCTGTTAGTACTTTCCTGTTAGTACCATCCTGTTAGTACCGTCCTGTTAGTCACGTCCTGTTAGTACTGTCCGGTTAGTACTTTCCTGTTAGTACCGTCCTGTTAGTACTTTCCTGTTAGTACCGTCCTGTTAGTACTTTCCTGTTAGTACTTTCCTGTTAGTACCGTCCTGTTAGTACTTTCCTGTTAGTACCGTCCTGTTAGTACTTTCCTGTTAGTACCATCCTGTTAGTACCGTCCTGTTAGTACCGTCCTATTAGTCACGTCCTGTTAGTACTGTCCATGCTGTTAGTATCGTCTGTCCTCTTACCACCGTCCTGTTAGTACCATCCTGTTAGTCACGTCCTGTTAGTACCATCCTGTTAGTACCGTCCTGTTAGTACTGTCCATGCTGTTAGTATCGTCTGTCCTCTTACTACCGTCCTGTTAGTACCGTCCTGTTAGTACCGTCCTGCTAGTACCATCCTGTTAGTACCGTCCTGTTAGTCACGTCCTGTTAGTACCATCCTGTTAGTACCGTCCTGTTAGTACCGTCCTGTTAGTACCATCCTGTTAGTACCGTCCTGTTAGTACCATCCTGTTAGTACCGTCCTGTTAGTACCATCCTGTTAGTACCGTCCTGTTAGTACCGTCCTGTTAGTCACGTCCTGTTAGTACCGTCCTGTTAGTACCATCCTGTTAGTACCGTCCTGTTAGTCACGTCCTGTTAGTACCGTCCTGTTAGTACCGTCCTGTTAGTACCGTCCTGTTAGTACCATCCTGTTAGTACCGTCCTGTTAGTACCGTCCTGTTAGTACCATCCTGTTAGTACCATCCTGTTAGTACCGTCCTGTTAGTCACGTCCTGTTAGTACCGTCCTGTTAGTACCGTCCTGTTAGTACCGTCCTGTTAGTCACGTCCTGTTAGTACCGTCCTGTTAGTCACGTCCTGTTAGTACCGTCCTGTTAGTACCATCCTGTTAGTACCATCCTGTTAGTACCATCCTGTTAGTACCGTCCTGTTAGTACCGTCCTGTTAGTCACGTCCTGTTAGTACCGTCCTGTTAGTACCGTCCTGTTAGTACCGTCCTGTTAGTCACGTCCTGTTAGTACCATCCTGTTAGTCACGTCCTGTTAGTACCATCCTGTTAGTACCATCCTGTTAGTACCGTCCTGTTAGTCACGTCCTGTTAGTACCATCCTGTTAGTACCATCCTGTTAGTACCGTCCTGTTAGTCACGTCCTGTTAGTACCGTCCTGTTAGTCACGTCCTGTTAGTACCGTCCTGTTAGTACCATCCTGTTAGTACCGTCCTGTTAGTCACGTCCTGTTAGTCACGTCCTGTTAGTACCATCCTGTTAGTCACGTCCTGTTAGTACCGTCCTGTTAGTACCGTCCTGTTAGTACCGTCCTGTTAGTACCGTCCTGTTAGTCACGTCCTGTTAGTACCGTCCTGTTAGTACCGTCCTGTTAGTACCATCCTGTTAGTACCGTCCTGTTAGTACCGTCCTGTTAGTACCATCCTGTTAGTCACGTCCTGTTAGTACCGTCCTGTTAGTCACGTCCTGTTAGTACGTCCTGTTAGTACCATCCTGTTAGTACCGTCCTGTTAGTACCGTCCTGTTAGTCACGTCCTGTTAGTACCGTCCTGTTAGTACCATCCTGTTAGTACCGTCCTGTTAGTACTTTCCTGTTAGTACCGTCCTGTTAGTACCATCCTGTTAGTCACGTCCTGTTAGTCACGTCCTGTTAGTACCATCCTGTTAGTACCGTCCTGTTAGTCACGTCCTGTTAGTACCATCCTGTTAGTACCATCCTGTTAGTACCATCCTGTTAGTACTATCCTGTTAGTACTTTCCTGTTAGTACCGTCCTGTTAGTACTTTCCTGTTAGTACCATCCTGTTAGTACCGTCCTGTTAGTCACGTCCTGTTAGTACTGTCCGGTTAGTACTTTCCTGTTAGTACCGTCCTGTTAGTACTTTCCTGTTAGTACCGTCCTGTTAGTACTTTCCTGTTAGTACTTTCCTGTTAGTACCGTCCTGTTAGTACTTTCCTGTTAGTACCGTCCTGTTAGTACCGTTCTGTTAGTACCATCCTGTTAGTCACGTCCTGTTAGTACCATCCTGTTAGTACCGTCCTGTTAGTACTGTCCATGCTGTTAGTATCGTCTGTCCTCTTACTACCGTCCTGTTAGTACCGTCCTGTAAGTACCATCCTGTTAGTACCATCCTGTTAGTACCATCCTGTTAGTACCGTCCTGTTAGTACCGTCCTGCTAGTACTTTCCTGTTAGTACCGTCCTGTTAGTCACGTCCTGTTAGTACCACCCTGTTAGTACCATCCTGTTAGTACCATCCTGTTAGTACCATCCTGTTAGTCACGTCCTGTTAGTACCATCCTGTTAGTACCATCCTGTTAGTACTGTCCTGTTAGTACTTTCCTGTTAGTACCGTCCTGTTAGTCACGTCCTGTTAGTACCATCCTGTTAGTACCATCCTGTTAGTACCGTCCTGTTAGTACTTTCCTGTTAGTACCGTCCTGTTAGTACCATCCTGTTAGTACCGTCCTGTTAGTACCGTCCTGTTAGTACCGTCCTGTTAGTACCGTCCTGTTAGTACCGTCCTGTTAGTACCATCCTGTTAGTACCGTCCTGTTAGTACCATCCTGTTAGTACCGTCCTGTTAGTACCGTCCTGTTAGTACCGTCCTGTTAGTACCGTCCTGTTAGTCACGTCCTGTTAGTACCGTCCTGTTAGTCACGTCTTGTTAGTACCATCCTGTTAGTACCATCCTGTTAGTACCATCCTGTTAGTACCGTCCTGTTAGTCACGTCCTGTTAGTCACGTCCTGTTAGTACCGTCCTGTTAGTACCGTCCTGTTAGTACCATCCTGTTAGTACTTTCCTGTTAGTACCGTCCTGTTAGTACCATCCTGTTAGTACCGTCCTGTTAGTACTTTCCTGTTAGTACCGTCCTGTTAGTACCATCCTGTTAGTACCGTCCTGTTAGTACCATCCTGTTAGTACCGTCCTGTTAGTCACGTCCTGTTAGTACCGTCCTGTTAGTACCGTCCTGTTAGTCACGTCCTGTTAGTACCGTCCTGTTAGTACCATCCTGTTAGTACCGTCCTGTTAGTCACGTCCTGTTAGTACCATCCTGTTAGTACCATCCTGTTAGTACCGTCCTGTTAGTCACGTCCTGTTAGTACCGTCCTGTTAGTACCGTCCTGTTAGTACCATCCTGTTAGTACCGTCCTGTTAGTACCGTCCTGTTAGTACCATCCTGTTAGTACCATCCTGTTAGTACCATCCTGTTAGTACCGTCCTGTTAGTACCATCCTGTTAGTACCGTCCTGTTAGTCACGTCCTGTTAGTACCGTCCTGTTAGTACCGTCCTGTTAGTACCATCCTGTTAGTACTGTCCTGTTAGTACCGTCCTGTTAGTACCGTCCTGTTAGTACCGTCCTGTTAGTACCGTCCTGTTAGTACCATCCTGTTAGTACCATCCTGTTAGTACCGTCCTGTTAGTACCATCCTGTTAGTACCATCCTGTTAGTACCATCCAGTTAGTACCGTCCTGTTAGTCACGTCCTGTTAGTACCGTCCTGTTAGTACCATCCTGTTAGTACCATCCTGTTAGTACCATCCTGTTAGTACCGTCCTGTTAGTACCGTCCTGTTAGTACCATCCTGTTAGTACCATCCTGTTAGTACCATCCAGTTAGTACCATCCGCGCGTTCGTCTCCCTGAAGGCAGCAGCAGAACTCACGCTTGCAGGAGGCTCCGTCGCCCTCGTACACCGGCTTGCAGATGCACGTGCTGTTGTCCCGGCAAATGGCGTTCTTGTGGCACGCGGGGATGCACACCGGCTTCCGGGCTGCGTGCGCACATGGACGGGGAGGTCAGAGGTCAGCGAACCACAGTCACCCGGAACGAGCGAGAATCCGGCTGAGATCTGGCGGTGGTCACGTGCCGTCACGGAAAATCACTTGTGCGTCGGTGTGTCTGTGTGTCTGTGTGGCGGTGTGTCTGTATGTCGGTGTGTATGTGTGTCTGTGTGGCAGTGTGTATGTGTGTCTGTGTGTCGGTGTGTCTGTGTGTCTGTGTGTCGTCTGTGTGCCTGTGTGTCGGTGTGTCTGTGTGTCTGTGTGGCAGTGTGTATCTGTGTCTGTGTGTCTGTGTGTCGGTGTGTCTGTGTGTCGGTGTGTCTGTGTGTCTGTGTGTCTGTGTGCCTGTGTGTCGGTGTGTCTGTGTGTCTGTGTGTCTGTGCGTCGGTGTGTCTGTGTGTCTGTGTGTCTGTGTGGCAGTGTGTATGTGTGTCTGTGTGTCGGTGTGTCTGTGTGTCTGTGTGGCAGTGTGTATGTGTGTCTGTGTGTCAGTGTGTCTGTGTGTCTGTGTGGCAGTGTGTATGTGTGCCACCATGAGGGGTGGACAGTTCTCTACTCGGGGCAGCAGACTGCCAAACAACAGGGTGTGGGTCTTCTTTTGAACAAAAGAATGAAGGGGGCGTGGGAGCGTGGCGGTGAGGTGTGGGAAGCTGTAAGCCCCAGGCTACTTTGGGCTCGCCTTCCCATCAACCGGAGGCGAGGAATGGTGGTCGTGGTTACTTATGCCCCCACCGAAGATGAACATCCGTGGAGGGATGCAGGCAAAGCCGATGAGTCAGATGCCTTCTATGACCTCCTGTCACAGGTGCTGGCTAAAGTGGCCCCTCGGGATAGAGTCATCATGTTGGGTGACTTCAATGCCCGAGTTGGTCATGATACTGGCACCTGGCCTGGAGTGATTGGAGGGCATGGGCCAGATCAGCTCAATAACAACGGTAGGAGGCTGCTAGATTTTTGTGCAGCCCATGGGCTTGTAATTACCAACACGCTGTTCCGGCATCGGCGCATCCACACAACATCATGGATGCATGCCGGGTCCAAGCAAGAACATCTGCTGGACTACATAGTGACGGACCAGCGAATGCAAGCCCATGTCCTTGACACCAGGACCTACCGTGGAGCTGATCTGCCCTCTGACCATCGACTAGTCATCTGTAAGATGCGCCTGCCATTCTTCCACTCCGGTGGTGGGTGTACACCCAGGACCCCATTCCAACCTAAAGTGGCCTGGTCTCAGTTATCTGATGAAAGTTGCAAGCGAGAATTTCATCATCGCTTGCGGCTGGGATTGGCATCGTCCCCGACTCCTCCTGATGTCGAGGGTAAATGGGCGAGGTTTAGGACTGTGACTCATGCAGCTGCAATGGCTGCTTTGGGTACGCGGTCCAGACCTCCCCAGACACCCTGGATGACAGAGGAGTTGTTCACGATGGTTGAGAAAAAGCGGCAGGCCCACTGTCATCGGCTACAGAGTCCCACGTCAGAGAATGAGGAGGCTTACCGCAGCCTTCGCTCGGAGGTTCGGAGAGCCGTGAGGCGCTGCAAGGATGGGTGGTGGTCGCGGGTTGCTGAGGAGATGGAGTCTGCCTCAGTGGCCCGTGATCACAAATCTCTATTTAACTCCATCAAAAAAGTAACCTGCAGCGCCACACCTATTACCATCATTAGGGGAAAAAACGGCGATCCAATTTCCGACCCCCAGGAACAGGTTCGCAGATTTGCTGAGCATTTCTGTGAGGTCCTGGGGGAGGGAAAATCCCTCAGCCAGGAAAACATCGTGGCACAAAGTGACGATGACCCTGCTGAGGCTGCGGTGCCTCAAATATTGGATGAAGTCACCCCCTGTGAGTGGCTGGCTGAGGTGCCATCTGCTGAGGAAGTATTGAAGGCGATCCGGAGTCTGAGACCAGGAAAGGCAGCGGGCAGAGATGATCTTCCAAGCGAAATGCTGAGGGAGGGTGGCGTTTGTGCACAGACTGCCCTATATGACATCATAACAACAGTCTGGACCACTGGACGGGTTCCGCAGGATTGGAAGGATGCCCTGGTGGTCCCCCTTTTTAAGAAGGGGGACCGCACAGACTGTAACAACTACAGGGGCATCTCACTCCTCAGTGTGCCGGGAAAGGTCCTGGCAAGGATTATTCAGCATCGCCTTGCCAGGCACGCTGAGGAGAGGCTTGCGGAGCCCCAATGCGGTTTCAGGAAAGGGCGGTCCTGCACAGATGCCATATTTTCTGTCCGTCTGCTACAGCAGAGGTGTAGGGAATTCCAACAAGACCTACATCTCTGCTTTATTGACCTGGTCAAGGCCTATGATACCATCAGTAGGCCTGGGCTCTGGGTCGTTCTTCGTGCTTTTGGAGTACCTGACCCTCTGCTCACGATCATTAAGGACCTTCATGATGGTGAGCGGGCCTGGGTAAAACTACGTGGCCGGGAGTCAGAGCCATTCCCTGTACACCTTGGGGTGCGACAGGGATGTCCTCTGGCTCCCACATTATTTAACATCTATTTTGACCACGTAGTTCGTGAAGCCTTCAATAGCTGTACCGGGGGAATCTCCATATGGTACAGATATAATGGGAGGCTAATCGATGCCCGGGTGCGGTCAAGGGATGGCTCCCTATTGCTCAACCACGTTATGTATGCTGATGACTTGGTAATAGCTGCTCAGTCAGAGGAGGAGTTGGAGACGCTGCTGCTGAGACTGGAGCATGCCACTAAGAGGTGGGGCCTTACCATCAGCCCCACCAAAACCAAGCACCTGCCTGGGTATTTTGTACCATCGGACACTCCACCCCCACAACTCCCAATCGGTGATGGGGCAGTTGTGGAGAGAGTGGAGAGTTTCCCATACCTGGGCAGTGTGCTTATGACTGGCACCAGTTTAACCGCAGAGGTCTCACTCCGAATCAGTCGAGCGGCAATATCTTTTCATCGGTTGCGTAACGCTGTGTGGAAGCTACCTGGTCTGTCGCTCCGCACTAAGCTTCAGGTCTTCTCGGCCACGGTCATTCCCTCCCTTCTCTACGCTTGCGAAACGTGGACCCCCCTAATGGAACATCTTCGCCGGTTAGAAACATTTAGGCTGGCCTGCCTACGATCCATCCTGGGTTTAACCAGACTGGATTGTGTGAGGAGCTCACAAATCCTTGAAAGATCTGGGCAGGGTCCCATCGGTGAGCTCCTCCGGCAGGCAAGGCTGCGATGGCTGGGTCATGTAGCCCGCATGCCCAGCCACCGCATGCCGAAACAGCTTTTGTTTGGCCGGATTGAGGGGGCTAAGCGGGCGCGGCACGGGCTAGAGAAGAGATGGAGTGATGTGGTACAGGAGGACGTGGAGCTGAGTGGACTTGCCGATGACTGGTACCAGCGGTGTCAAGATCGGCCTCTGTGGAGGAGGCTCGTGAAGGATGCTACTGGGCAGTTGGAGGCAGTCGCCCTCCAACAACAACGGAGGGCGGAGGAGCGACGCTCACAACAGCGAGCGGAGCGCCGGGTGGCTAAAGCACAGCAGGTTGGCACAGTAGGGGGCACAGGTGGTGCATCAGCCAGTCATCTCAGTCAGTCGACCCGTGGCACCTGGGTCTGCCCCGTGACCTCCTGCCAGCGGGCGTTCGACACTTCACGTGGCCTCAGGGTGCACATAGCCTGGCACAAGCGTCGTGGTGACGTCACCGCCACTTAGTGGCGAATGGCGGTTGTTGATGTGTGTCTGTGTGTCTGTGTGTCGGTGTGTCTGTGTGTCTGTGTGTCTGTGCGTCGGTGTGTCTGTGTGTCTGTGTGTCTGTGTGGCAGTGTGTATGTGTGTCTGTGTGTCGGTGTGTCTGTGTGTCTGTGTGGCAGTGTGTATGTGTGTCTGTGTGTCGGTGTGTCTGTGTGTCTGTGTGGCAGTGTGTATGTGTGTCTGTGTGTCTGTGTGTCGGTGTGTCTGTGTGTCTGTGTGCCTGTGTCTCGGTGTGTCTGTGTGTCTGTGTGTCGGTGTGACTGTGTGTCCGCGTGTCCGCGTGTCGTCGGTGTGTCTGTGTGTCCGCGTGTCGTCGGTGTGTCTGCGTGTCTGCGTGTCTGTGTGTCTGTGTGTCAGTGTGTCTGTGTGTCGGAGTGTATGTGTGTCCGCGTGACGTCGGTGTGTCTGCGTGTCTGCGTGTCTGTGTGTCTGCGTGTCTGCGTGTCTGTGCATCTGTGTGTCTGTGTGTCTGTGTGTCTGAGTGTCTGTGTGTCCGCGTGACGTCGGTGTGTCTGTGTGTCTGTGTGTCCGCGTGTCGTCGGTGTGTCTGTGTGTCTGCGTGTCTGTGTGTCTGTGTGTCGGTGTGTCTGTGTGTCGGAGTGTATGTGTGTCTGTGTGTCCGCGTGACGTCGCTGTGTCTGTGTGTCACTGTGTCTGTGTGTCTGTGTGTCTGCGTGTATGTGTGTCTGTGTGTCCGCGTGACGTCGCTGTGTCTGTGTGTCACTGTGTCTGTGTGTCTGTGTGTCTGCGTGTCTGTGTGTCTGTGTGTCTGTGTGTCTGCGTGTCTGTGTGTCTGTGTGTCTGTGTGTCTGCGTGTCTGTGTGTCTGTGTGTCTGTGTGTCTGTGTGTCTGCGTGTCTGCGCGTCTGTGCGTCGTGGGCGGTTCTCACCGAGCTTGGTGTCGCATCGCTTGCCCGTCCACCCCTCGGCACAGAAGCACGACCCGGTACCCGCCACACCCTCGTCACACGTTCCCGCGGCACTGCACATGCACGCTGAGACACGGCACACACCCCGTGACACCCCGTGACGCCCCGTGACGCCCCGTGACGCCCCGCGCCTACCTGCGAGCGTCACGGCGAGCTGGGCGCGACCTTACGTCTGCAGGAGGCTCCGTATCTCCCGGGCGTGCACTCCTCGCACGCGGTGCCGTTGAAGGCGGCCTGGCAGCGGCACGCGCCGCTCCCCGCCGAGCCGTCCTCGCACACGCCGCGGCGGCCGCACGGCCCCGCCGCTCCGCCGGGGCACGCTGCAGCACGCACACAGCCAAAGGTCCCCCGCGTAGCCTTGAGTGGAGCGTCGGGGCAAGCACAGGCGGCGGACGTTGGGCGCGTTGCCCCGGGGTGCTCGCCTGAGGCCGAGCCGGCACGGGGGAGGCCCAGGGCCGCGAGCGGGAATCGAAACCCGTGTCGCGCAGCGTGCTAACCGCCGCGCCACCGCTCCCCCACGCAAACAACGGCAACCGCCGCCATTTCGCCACCGGGTTGCGGCGACGTCACGTGCCAGGCTAGGTGCACCTTGAGGCAAGCACGTGAGGTGTCAAATGCTCTCACTGCTGCCCCAGGTGCTCTGGGTTGACCGCTCGACATGGCTGGCCGATGTACCGCCGATGCCAACTCCCCGCATTGCACAAGCACACAAAGACAAACGCCCCCCGTGTAGCCTTGTAGCCTTGCTGTTAGCGAGCACCTATGAAGGCCGCAGTGGCGATGTTTTACAGACCCTACCAGGACACTCATCCAAGGCTGAGTCTAACCTCAGGGGAGGCCCAGGACCGGTTCGGATATTCGCGATTGTGAGCGGGAATTGAACTCGGGTCGCCGCTCAGCACGTTAAACCGCGACACTGCCACTCCCCGTGCCCAGGCACGCACACAGGCACACACACACACACGCACGCACGCACGCACGCATGCACACAGGCACACACACACGCACACACACACACGCACACACACACACGCACACACACACACGCACACACACGCACGGACACGCGCACGCACACGCACACACACACACGCACACACACACACACACACGCACACACACACGCACACACACACACACACGCACACACACACACACGCACACACACACACACACGCGCTCCCGTGCCACTCACGTCGGCAGTCTCGGCCGTAGAAGCCGGGGCAGCACTGCTGGTGCCACACGGAGAGGGCGCAGTCTCGACGGCAGCCGTCTCTCACCGCGCCGAACAGCGAGCGGTAGGAGCAGCGCACGAGATCGTCCTGGGGGGCCGGGGGGGGGGCAAGGGGGGTGGGGGGACGAGGGTGGGGGGGACAACATTGGGCACCATTCTCCTCTCATGTCTCCATGGGGTTTGGTTGTACTGTGCGCACACTCACACACTCTCACACTCTCACACTTACACACTCACACACACACGCTCACACTCACACTCTCACACACGCTCACACTCTCACGCTCACACGCTCACACACTCACACGCTCACACACTCACACACTCACACTCACACACGCTCACACTCTCACGCTCACACTCACACACGCTCACACTCTCACGCTCACACACTCACACGCTCACACACTCTCACACTTACACTCACACTCTCACACTTACACTCTCACGCTCACACACTCACACGCTCACACACTCACACACTCACACACTCACACGCTCACACGCTCTCACACTCTCACACTCACACACACTCACACGCTCACACACACTCACACGCTCACACACACTCACGCTCACACGCTCTCACACGCTTCCCCCGTATAGCCTTAACAGACTGTAGGGGCAAGTGCTGTTAGCGAGCAGCTATGAAGGCCGGCACAGCACCACGCCCGGCCGCCTTTGTCTCCCCAGTGGCGATGTTAACTATACACAGCACCAGGTACTCATTTAAGGCTGAATCGACCTAGGGGAGGCCCAGGACCGGTTCAGATAATAATCGTCAACGGTGTTCGCCGTGAGCAGGAGTCGAACCCGGGTCGCCAGGTTCATAGCGCAGTGCGCTAACCACTACACTACCGCTCCCCACACACAGACACACTCAGACACACGCACACAGACACACGCACACAGACACACAGGCACACACAGACACACGCACACACACAGACACACAGACACACACACACACAAGACACACGCACACACACGTGCGCACTCACGCTCTCACTCCCACTCACTCTCACCGACCTTTGACTTTGTTGACCCTGGACATGGCGGCAATCGAGCGCAGTTCCCACAGTCTCCCTGGAGCATCCATGGTCCCGGCACAGGAACGTGGGAAAGGTGAGTGGGGGTTGGGTAGGTGGGTGGGTGGAAGGTAGAGGACGGATGGGTGACCGATGTACCGGTCAGCGGTCAGCTCAATCGCAGGGTCACAGACACCACACTGCCTACCCACCCAGCCAACCACCTGCCTACCCATCCAGTCATCCACCTGCCTACCCACCCAGTCAACCACTTGCCTACCCACCCAGCCAACCACCTGCCTACCCACCCAGTCAACCACCTGCCGACCCACCCCAGTCAACCACCTGCCTACCCACCCAGTCAACCACCTGCCTACCCACCCAGTCAACCACTTGCCTACCCACCCAGTCAACAACCTGCCTACCCACCCAGTCAACCACTTGCCTACCCACCCAGTCAACAACCTGCCTACCCACCCAGTCAACAACCTGCCTACCCACCCAGTCATCCACCTGCCTACCGACCCAGCCAACCACTTGCCTACCCACCCAGCCAACCACCTGCCTACCCACCCAGTCAACCACTTGCCTACCCACCCAGTCAACCACTTGCCTACCCACCCAGTCAACCACTTGCCTACCCACCCAGTCAACCACCTGCATACCCACCCAGTCAACCACCTGCCTACCCACCCAGTCAACCACCTGCATACCCACCCAGTCAACCACCTGCCTACCCACCCAGCCAACCACTTGCCTACCCACCCAGTCAACCACTTGCCTGGCTGTCCATGTATTCACCAACCCACTTGCCCAACTATCTACTTACTCAACTACCCACCTTGTCTACGAGCCCACGCGTCCACACATCCTTCACATCACGTGTCCACCAAACCCACCTGCCCATCCACCCACGTACCCAATTCACCCACCCATCCATCCACCTCTTAACCCACCAGCCCAACCGCTCATACACTTGCAAACCCACCCACTCATCCACTGCTCCGCCCACTCACCTACCGAACCACCCACCCACTCGCCCACGTATCTATGTCCTAACTTTTCTACACCTGCTGACTACACCTGTCCACTGGCCCACTCGCCTACCCACTCACCTACCCACTCACCTATCTAGCCAAGACAAAGATCCCCCGTATTGCCTCAACATACTTTTGGGGCAAGTGCTACCAGCGAGCACCGGCACGGCACGCGAAGGGGTGGCCAGCACCTTCGCCCGGCCGCTTTTGTCTCCCCCAGTGGCGATGTTTACGCATCGTACCAGGTACTAATTTGAGGCTGAGCAAACCTAGGGGAGACCCATGATCGGTTCACATATTCACCAATGGTGTTGGTGGCCATGAGCGGGAATTTAACTCGGCTCTCTGGGTTCGCAGCGCAGCGCGCTAACTGCTGCACGTAGCCACCCCAACCAATCACCTCCATATCCACCCACGAGCTCACCTGCTCACCTGCCCACTCGCCCACCCGCCCGCTCACCCCCCCCCCCGCACTGCCGCCCCTCCCACCGCCCGCGCCCACCTTGATGTCGATGGTGGTGAAGACGTCGCAGCGGCCCCCGACACTGGGCGGCTGCAGCAGCGCGTCGAGGCCGTACAGCAGCCCCCCGTCAAACTCCAGCGCCCGCTGGACGATGCGGGCGCTGCCATCGTTCACGAACAGCTCGCCCTGCGCGCACGCACGCACGCACGCGCAGACAAAGATCCCCCGTGTAGCCCACGCGCGCCCGTGGGGGCAAGTGCTGGTGCACGCGAGCGTGAGTGAGCGGGCGAGTTGAGTGGGCGAGTAAGCGAGTGAGTGACCAAGCTGAAAAGTGTTCGCTTGAAAATTAACCCGTGCTGGTGGTGGTGGTGCTGGTAGTGGTGGTGGTGCTGGTGGTGCTGGTGGTACTGGTGGTGGTGCTGGTGGTGGTGCTGGTAGTGGTGGTGGTGCTGGTGGTGCTGGTGGTGGTGCTGGTGGTGGTGCTGGTAGTGGTGGTGGTGCTGGTGGTGCTGGTGGTACTGGTGGTGGTGCTGGTGGTGGACAGTCCTCTACTCGGGGCAGCAGACTGCCAAACAACAGGGTGTGGCTCTTCTTTTGAACAAAAGAATGAAGGCGGCGTGGGAGCGTGGCGGTGAGGTGTGGGAAGCTGTAAGCCCCAGGCTACTTCGGCTCGCCTTCCCATAAACCGGAGGCGAGGAGTGGTGGTCGTGGTTTCTTATGCCCCCACAGAAGACGAACATCCGTGGAGGGATGCAGGCAAAGAGGATTAATCAGATGCCTTCTATGACCTCCTGTCACAGGTGCTGGCTAAAGTGGCACCTCGGGATAGAGTCATCATATTGGGTGACTTCAATGCCCGAGTTGGTCATGATGCTGGCACCTGGTCTGGAGTGATTGGAGGGCATGGGCCAGATCAGTTCAATAACAACGGTAGGAGGCTGCTAGATTTTTGTGCAGCCCATGGGCTTGTAATTACCAACACGCTGTTCCGGCATCGGTGCATCCACACAACATCATGGATGCATGCCGGGTCCAAGCAAGAACATCTGCTGGACTACATAGTGACGGACCAGCAGATGCGAGCCCATGTCCTTGACACCAGGACCTACCGTGGAGCTGATCTGCCCTCTGACCATCGACTAGTCATCTGTAAGATGCGCCTGCCATTCTTCCACTCCGGTGGTAGGTGTACACCGAAGACTCCATTCCAACCTAAAGTGGCCTGGTCTCAGTTATCTGATGAAAGTTACAAGCGAGAATTTCATCATCGCTTGCAGCTGGAATTGGCATCGTCCCCGACTCCTCCTGATGTCGAGGGTAAATGGGCGAGGTTTAGGACTGTGACTCATGCAGCTGCAATGGCTGCTTTGGGTACGCGGTCCAGACCTCCCCAGAGACCCTGGCTGACAGAGGAGGTGTTCAGGATGGTTGAGAAAAAGCGACAGGCCCACTGTCATCGGCTACAAAATCCCATGTCAGAGAATGAGGAGGCTTACAGCAGCCTTCGCTCGGAGGTTCGGAGAGCCGTGAGGCGCTGCAATGATGGGTGGTGGTCGCGGGTTGCTGAGGAGATGGAGTCTGCCTCAGTGGCCCGCGATCACAAATCTCTATTTAACTCCATCAAAAAAGTAACCTGCAGCGCCACACCTATTACCATCATTAGGGGAAAAAACGGTGATCCAATCTCCGACCCCCAGGAACAGGTTTGCAGATTTGCTGAGCATTTATGTGAGGTCCTGGGGGAGGGAAAATCCCTCAGCCAGGAAAACATCGTGGCACAAAGTGAGGATGACCCTGCTGAGGCTGTGGTGCTTCAAATACTGGAAGAAGTCACCCCCTGTGAGTGGCTGGCTGAGGTGCCATCTGTTGAGGAAGTACTGAAGGCGATCCGGAGTCTGAGACCAGGAAAGGCAGCGGGCAGAGACGATCTCCCAAGCGAAATGCTGACGGATGGTGGCGTTTGTGCACAGACTGCCCTATATGACAAAGATCCCCCGTATTGCCTCAAGATAGTTTTGGGGCAAGTGCTACCAGCGAGCACCGACACGGCACGCGAAGGGGTGGCCAGCACCACGCCCGGCCGCTTTTGTCTCCCCAGTGGCGATGTTTACGCATCGTACCAGGTACTAATTTGAGGCTGAGCAAACCTAGGGGAGACCCATGATCGGTTAACATATTCACCATTGGTGTTGGTGGCCATGAGCGGGAATTTAACTCGGCTCTCTGGGTTCGCAGCGCAGCGCGCTAACTGCTGCACGTAGCCACCCCAACCAATCACCTCCATATCCACCCACCAGTTCACCTGCTCACCTGCCCACCCGCCCGACCACACGCTCACCCACCCACCCGCTCACCCACTCACTCACTCACAGACTGCCCTATATGACATCATAACAACAGTCTGGACCACTGGACGGGTTCCGCAGGATTGGAAGGATGCCCTGGTGGTCCCCCTCTTTAACAAGGGGGACCGCACAGACTGTAACAACTACAGGGGCATCTCACTCCTCAGTGTGCCGGGAAAGGTCCTGGCAAGGATTATTCAACATCGCCTTGCCAGGCACGCTGAGGAGAGGCTTGCGGAGCCCCAATGCGGTTTCAGGAAAGGGTGGTCCTGCACAGATGCCATATTTTCTGTCCGTCTGCTACAGCAGAGGTGTAGGGAATTCCAACAAGACCTACATCTCTGCTTTATTGACCTGGTCAAGGCCTATGATACCATCAGTAGGCCTGGGCTCTGGGTTGTTCTTCGTGCTTTTGGAGTACCTGACCCTCTGCTCACGATCATTAAGGACCTTCATGATGGTGAGCGGGCCCAGGTAAAACTACGTGGCCGTGAGTCAGAGCCATTCCCTGTACACCTTGGGGTGCGACAGGGATGTCCTCTGGCTCCCACATTATTTAACATCTATTCTGACCACGTAGTTCGTGAAGCCTTCAATAGCTGTACCGGGGGAATCTCCATATGGTACAGATATAATGGGAGGCTGATCGATGCCCGCGTGCGGTCAAGGGATGGCTCCCTATTGGTCAACCACGTTATGTATGCCGATGATTTGGTAATAGCCGCTCGTTCAGAGGAGGAGTTGGAGACGCTGCTGCTGAGACTGGAGCGTGCCACTAAGAGGTGGAGCCTTACCATCAGCCCCACCAAAACTAAGCACCTGCCTGGGTATTTTGTACCATCGGACACTCCACCCCCACAACTCCCAATCGGTGATGGGGCAGTTGTGGAGAGAGTGGAGAGTTTCCCATACCTGGGCAGTGTGCTTATGACCGGCTCCAGTTTAACAGCAGAGGTCTCACTCCGAATCAATCGAGCGGCAATATATTTTCATCGGTTGCGTAACGCTGTGTGGAAGCTACCTGGTCTGTCGCTCCGCACTAAGCTTCAGGTCTTCTCGGCCACGGTCATTCCCTCCCTTCTCTACGCTTGCAAAACGTGGACCCCCCTAATGAAACATATTCGCTGGTTAGAAACATTTAGGCTGGCCTGCCTACGATCCATCCTGGGTTTAACCAGGCTGGATTGTGTGAGGAGCTCACAAATCCTTGAAAGATCTGGGCATGGTCCCATCGGTGAGCTCCTCTGGCAGGCAAAGCTGCGTTGGCTGGGTCATGTAGGGGGCACAGGTGGTGCATCAGCCAGTCATCTCAGTCAGTCGACCCGTGGCACCTGGGTCTGCCCCGTGACCTCCTGCCAGCAGGCGTTCGACACTTCACGTAGCCTCAAGGTGCATATGGCCTGGCACAAGCGTCGTGGTGACGTCACCGCCACTTAGTGGCGAATGGCGGTTGTTGGTGCTGGTGGTGGTGGTGTTGGTGGTGGTGCTGGTGGTGGTGCTGGTGGTGGTGCTGGTGGTGGTGCTGGTCGTGGTGGTGATGCTGGTGCTGGTGGTGCTGGTGGTGCTGGTGACAGTGGTGGTGGTGCTGGTGGTGGTGCTGGTGGTGCTGGTGGCGGTGCTGGTGGTGGCTGTGGTGGTGCTGGTGGTGGCAGTGCTGGTGGTGGTACTGCTGGTGGTGGTGGTGCTGGTGGTGGTGGTGATGGTGGTGCTGGTGGCGGTGCTGGTGGTGGTGGTACTGCTGGCGGTGCTGGTGGTGGTGGCTGTGGTGATGCTGGTGGTGGCAGTGCTGGTGGTGGTGGTACTGCTGGTGGTGCTGGTGGTGGTGGTGCTGGTGGTAGTGGTGTTATAATCATCATCTCAACTTGTCCCACGCTGTGTCACTCTCTATGAGAGCGACGAGTCTATTTCAACGAGACAATCCCGACTATATTTTGTGTTTATTTCACCAGGCAAGGCCCCACTGAGCTCTGTTGCTCTTATTCAGAAAGAGACCCGGCCACAAATGAGAGCCCAACGAATTGGCTTAGCATCATCAAAGTGGGAATTTATAGCAGACAAATATTCTGAAACGCGCGACGTTGATTTCGAATGTGGAGGGAAAAACCGGAGGACCCGGATAAAAATCCACGTTGACCACGGGGAGAGAGACACGCAAACTCCAAATATACAGCAGCAGCAGGCGTCAGGGTCGGGATGGAGCCCACGACCTCCTGTGTACCAGGCGAGGTAGTTAACATCTCCTAGCCACCGTGGTGATGATAAGAGAGAGACACGCACACTCCAAATATACAGCAGCAGGCGTCAGGGTCGGGATGGAGCCCACGACCTTCTGTATACCAGGCGAGGAAGTTAACATCTCGCCCGGCTGCCCTACGAACCCAGTCACCCGAGTTCCATTCCCGCTCACGGCCACCACCATCATCAGTGCCAGGAGGGGGAACCAAAGATGAGGAGCAGCAGCAGCCACGCGGTGGCGAGGAGCTGGCACGAAATTCCCCATCACCACAAAGCTCTGCGTTCCTCTACATATGAAGGTGTTCTCGGCCAATTAGTGAGTGGTTATACACGTGAGAGGAAGCCGGAGCACCCGGAGAAAACCAACGCGTGCGAAAGGGGGCAACGCTCGATCCCGTACGGGTGGAGCAGGTGGGGGCACACATATTGCTGTACCGCCGTCTCCTGGCAGAGCCTGGGGTAGGGCTCTTCCTCGACACCCACACACGGGGAAAGGGAGTTACACAACGCCATCTGTGCGTGAACAACCAACCCTCGCTGCTGCCTTCACAGCGCTGGATCACTACAGGCGGCCAGTGGCAGTGTAGCCAGCACCACCACCAGTACCACCGCCACCACCACCGCTATCAACAACACAACAACCGCCAATCGCCGCTAAGTGGCGGTGACGTCACCACGGCACTATGTGCACGTTGAGGCTATCACGTGAAGTGTCGAACAGCCCGCTGGCAGGAGGTCACGGGGCAGACCCAGCAGGTGCCACGGGTCGACCGACCGAGATGACTGAGACGGCTGGCTGATGCACCACCTGTGCGCCCTACTGTGACAACTTGCTGTGCTTTAGCCACCCGGCGCTCCGCACGTTGTTGTGAGCGTCGCTCCTCTGCCCTCTGTTGTTGTTGGAGGCTGATATTGACACCGCTGGTACCAGTCATCGGCAAGTCCACTCAGCTCCACATCCTCCTGTACCACATCACTCCATCTCTTCTCTAGCCCGTGCTGCGCCCGTTTAGCCCCCCTATCTGGCCGAATAAAAGCTGTAAAAATAATGTGGGAGCGCCAGAGGACATCCCTGTCACACCCCAAGGCGAACAGGGAATGGCTCCGACTCTCCCGGCCACGTAGCTTTACCTGGGCCTGCTCACCATCACGAAGGTAATGAATGATTGTGAGCGGAGCGCCAAGGATTCTGAAAGCACGAAGAACAACCCAGAGCCCCGTCCTACTGATGGTATCATAGTCCTTGACCAGGTCAATAAAGCCATCACCACCTCCACCACAACCACCGCCACCACCACCACCACCACCGCAACCACCGCCGCCATCACCAACCGCTGCTGGTGCTGCCGCTGTGCCAGTCGGCGTCCGTGCGCCGCGAGTAGCCGTGCCGGTTACCGGCGAGGGGGGCGGCCCTCTCACCGTGGCGTTGGACGTGGAGCAGGAGAAGGAGACCTCGGAGCCTTGCATGGTCAAGAGCGCCCCCACCGTCGGCATGTCGGATGCCAGCACCTGCTCGCGCCCGCCGGGGGGGGCGGGGGAGGGGAGGAGGAGGTCCGAGGTGCGTGACGTTGAGGAGAACTCCAGAGACCGGGGCACGAGCGACAGCGAGAAGGGTGGCGGCCCCGGGACCACGGGAACGAGTCGAGCGCTCGAGATGAAGTAACGGCGATGAAGCAGGGAGATCGGCGCGAGGGTCGCGGGGGATGTACGTGTGTTTGTGCGCACGCGTGTGTGTGTGTGCGTGTGTGCGTGTGTGTGCGCGTGTGTGTGCGTGTGTGTGTGCGCGTGTGTGTGCGTGTGTGTGTGCGTGTGTGTGTGCGTGTGTGCGTGTGTGTGCGTGTGTGCGCGTGTGTGCGTGTGTGTGCGTGTGTGTGTGTGTGTGTGTGCGCGTGTGTGCGCGTGTGTGTGTGCGTGTGTGTGTGCGTGTGTGCGTGTGTGTGCGTGTGTGTGTGTGTGTGCGTGTGTGTGCGCGTGTGTGTGCGCGTGTGTGCGCGTGTGTGTGCGTGTGTGCGCGTGTGTGTGCGCGTGTGTGTGCGCGTGTGTGCGCGTGTGTGTGTGCGTGTGTGTGCGTGTGTGTGCGCGTGTGTGCGCGTGCGTGTGTGCGTGTGTGCGCGTGTGTGCGCGTGTGCGCGTGTGTGCGTGTGTGTGCGCGTGTGTGTGCGTGTGTGTGTGCGTGTGTGTGCGCGTGTGTGCGCGTGTGTGTGCGTTGAACTTCTTTTGCGCCGCACGTAGACAACCGTGCCAATCGGAGGTGCGCGGGGAGGGGAGGGGAGGGGGCGGAAGGACAGCAAACTAAGCACAAAGAGCAGCTAAAAAGAAATGAGTTTGAAATCTCGATGATTTAAAAGTGGCTCCCTAACATCGGAAGGGAAGAGCGTTCCAGACGACCGCAGCGGCGCATCTGAAAGCACCGCGCGATGCGGCGACTGCTGTCGCCGCCGCCGCCGCCGCGAGGATGACCACCAGAGGTCACGCGGTGATGGTCTATCGCTCCTTGACGAGATCGGCGAGGAATCGTCGAAGCCCCGAGAGTGAATGGGGCGGTGGCTCGGCCCTGGGGGGCGATCGCACGCAGGCCGGGGCGCGGGGACACGGCGCGGACGGACGAGGGTGATGATGACGATGATGATGACGATGCTCTCGATGATAAATAATAACGCTAATTAAGACGACGATCACCATAGCACCATTCGCGATGAGGGATGATGACGATGGCGACGATGTTGTTGTTGTTGTTGTTGTTTACGTTGTCGTTTACAATGACGGCGTTTGCGTGGAAGTTCACATCGACTACGACGGCGACGCCGCCGGTCGCTACGGCGACGCCGGTCGCTACGACGACGCCGGTCGCTATGACGACGCCGGTCGCTACGACGACGCCGGTCGCTACCCCCCCCCCCCCGCCTTGCCGCACCTTGGCGTCGCGGACCATGTGGAACTTGAGGTGCTCGGCGAGGCGGTCGCGCTGGGCCGGCGCGTAGAGGAAGTCGCGGCGTGCGGGCGGCAGTGCGCGCAGCGCGGCGTCCGTGGGCCACAGCATGGTGTAGGGGCGGTGCAGCGGCTCGGCCAACAGCGGCAGCAGCCCACACTTCTGTACGCACCGAGCCGGCGGGGCGGCGGGGGCGGCGGGGACGAGACCATGATGGGGTGGAGGACACGGTGGATATGGGGGAGATGATGGGGGGGGGGGAGAGGGGGGGGGGGGAGATGGGGGATGGTGATGTTGGTCATGGGTTTGTGGCCGTGGTGGTGGTGGTGGTGAGCGTGTGATTGTGATGGTGGTGAGCGTGATGGTGGTGGTGAGCGTGATGGTGGTGGTGGACGTGTGATTGTGATGGTGGTGAGTGTGATGGTGAGCGTGTGATTGTGACGGTGGTGAGCGTGATGGTGGTGGTGGACGTGTGATTGTGATGGTGGTGAGTGTGATGGTGGTGTTGAGCGTGTGATTGTGATGGTGTTGGTGAGCGTGATGGTGGTGGTGAGCGTGTGATTGTGATGGTGGTGAGTGTGATGGTGGTGGTGGACGTGTGATTGTGATGGTGGTGGTGGCCGTGATGGTGGACGTGTGACTGCGATGGTTGTTGTGGACGTGTGATTGTGATGGTGGTGGTTAGCGTGATGGTGGTGGTGGCCGTGATTGTGATGGTGGTGGTGAGCGTGATGGTGGTGGTGAGCGTGATGGTGGTGGTGTCCGTGATGGTGGTGGTTGCCGTGAAGGTTGTGTAAGTCCTCACCGCGAGCAGACTGACAAACTCTGAATATCCATGATCTTCTGCCACAGCAGTAATATTCTTCTGTAGCCACACGCACGCACACAAACGTAGCCCAGTTAGCCTCGGAGACTGCGGGGCAGGGAGCCCGGCTTGGTGAACGAGATCTAAACAGCACACCTAAATCTTGACTTGAAGCTCTCGTGACTGCAGGAATTCACATTCGTTGGGTCTTTCACGTAGATAGGTACAAATTAATAAAAGTAATAAATATAAAATAAACAAAAAAAGACTACGACGTTTCGATCACAACATGCTAATTTCTCACATTAACGCGCCAAATTCTCACATTAACACGCCAATTTCTCACATTAACGCGCCAATTTCTCACATTAACACGCCAATTTCTCAAATTAACACGCCAATTTCTCAAATTAACACGCCAATTTCTCACATTAACACGCCAATTTCTCACATTAACACACCAATTTCTCACATTAACACGCCAATTTCTCACATTAACACACCAATTTCTCACATTAACACGCCAAATTCTCAAATTAACACGCCAAATTCTCACATTAACACACCAATTTCTCACATTAACACGCCAATTTCTCACATTAACACGCCAAATTCTCACATTAACACGCCAAATTCTCACATTAACACGCCAAATTCTCACATTAACACGCCAAATTCTCAAATTAACACGCCAAATTCTCACATTAACACGCCAAATTCTCACATTAACACTAATTTCTCACATTAACACGCCAATTTTTCAAAATTAACACGATAATTTCTCACATTAACACGCTAATTTCTCACATTAACACGCCAAATTCTCACATTAACACGCCAAATTCTCACATTAACACGCCAAATTCTCACATTAACACTAATTTCTCACATTAACACGCCAATTTTTCAAAATTAACACGATAATTTCTCACATTAACACGCCAATTTCTCACATTAACACGCCAAATTCTCACATTAACACGCCAACTTCTCACATTAACACGCCAAATTCTCACATTAACACGCCAAATTCTCAAATTAACACGCCAAATTCTCACATTAACACGCCAAATTCTCACATTAACACTAATTTCTCACATTAACACGCCAATTTTTCAAAATTAACACGATAATTTCTCACATTAACACGCTAATTTCTCACATTAACGCGCCAATTTCTCACATTAACAGCCTGCAGTCAGCAGCTTTCCCCCTCTTTCTTCTTGATGACGTCACTTCCCCAGTGGTTCCTGGTGACCCCGTGTGACCCCTTGTGACCCCGCATGAACCCACTTGACCCCATGTGACTCCTGTATGATCCCAGGTGGTCCCGGGTGACCCTGTCTGACCCCAGGTGACCCAGGGTAACCAGAGGTGACCACATCTGACGCCGGGTGACCCCACGTGGCGTCACAGTACAACCAGACCGATAGAAATCATCGATCTCAAACGGTCAGAAATCCGAAGCTCATTCCCCCCCCCCGCCCCCCCCCCCCCCCCCCACCCTTGGATGTGCTCCTGATTTTCATCGGTGAAGTCGCCTATACATTTCGTGTTCAAATCGGCGATAAAATTTGGCATGAAATCGGCAACAAAATCTCCGATGGCCGCCGCCGCTCTCACCAGCACGGAGGAGAGCCCGCTGGTCATTCGCTCGAAGGCCTGCATGTGCCTGGGCACCAGCAGCCGGTCGAGCATGTGCAAGACGCCGTTGGACGCCACGTGGTCGCTGGCTGTGATGTGAGCCACGCCGCCCACCAGCACCGACGCTGCGTCGCCCCCCTGCGTCACACCCCCGCGCGTCACACCCCGCGTGTCACACCCCGCGCGTCACACCCCGCGCGTCACACCCCGCGCGTCACACCCCGCGCGTCACACCCCGCGCGTCACACCCCGCGCGTCACACCCACCGTCACATCCCGCGCGTCACACCCCGCGCATCACACCCCCGCGCATCACACCCCTGCGTGTCAAACCCCTGTCACACCCCGCGAGTCACACCCACCGTCACACCTCGCGTGTCACACCCATCACACCCTGCGTCTCATAATCCGCGTGTCATACCTCCCGTCAGAACCCGCGTGTCAAAACCCCCCGCGTGTCACTCCCCGTGTCACTCCCCGCGAGTCACACCCACCGTCACACCCCGTGTCACACCCACCGTCACACCTCGTGTCACACCCACCGTCACACCTCGTGTCACACCCACCGTCACACCCAGCGAGTCACACCCACCGTCACACCCCGTGTCACACCCCGCGTGTCACACCCACCGTCACACCCCGCGCGTCACACCCACCGTCACACCCCGCGTGTCACACCCCGCGTGTCACACCCCGCGTGTCACACCCCGCGCGTCACACCCCACGCGTCACACCCCCCTCCCCCTGTCACACCCCGCCCTGCCGCTGCCCCCGCGCTGCACCTGTGGCGAGCGAGCGAGGGGCAGGGCCTCCCCGTGCAGGGTGACGAGGGCTGGCAGGGCGAGCAGATCGGCCATCAGGAGTTGGTTGCAGGCGACCACGTGGTGCCACAGCAGCTGTGACAGCTGGCCCCGCGCCACCACCTCCTCCAGCAGCTGCCCCACAAAGACAAAGGTCCCCCGGATAGTCTTCACAGACGACTGGGGCCAAGCACTGTTAGTGAGTGGCACCTATTCCGGAAGGCCGGCACGCCGCACGAGCGGGTGGGTGGCGAGCATCACGCCCGGCCGCCTTTGTCTCCCCGGTGGCGTGGTAGTGTGGTGAGCGTGGTGGTGTGGTGAGCGTGGTGGTGTGGTGAGCGTGGTGGTGTGGTGGATGTGGTGGTGTGGTGAGCGTGGTGGTGTAGTGAGCGTGGTGGTGAGCGTGGTGATGAGTGGTAGTGTAGTGAGCGTGGTGGTGAGCGTGGTGGTGAGTGGTAGTGTAGTGAGCGTGGTGGTGAGTGTGGTGGTGAGTGGTAGTGTGGTGAGCGTGGTGGTGAGCGTGGTGGTGAGTGGTAGTGTGGTGTGCGTGGTGGTGAGTGGTAGTGTAGTGAGCATGGTGGTGAGCGTGGTGGTGAGTGGTAGTGTGGTGAGCGTGGTGGTGAGTGGTAGTGTAGTGAGCATGGTGGTGGGCGTGGTGGTGAGCGTGGTGGTGAGTGGTAGTGTGGTGAGCATGGTGGTGAGCGTGGTGGTGAGTGGTAGTGTGGTGAGTGTGGTGGTGAGCGTGGTGGTGAGTGGTAGTGTGGTGAGCGTGGTGGTGAGTGGTAGTGTAGTGAGCATGGTGGTGAGCGTGGTGGTGAGCGTGGTGGTGAGTGGTAGTGTGGTGAGCGTGGTGGTGAGCGTGGTAGTGAGTGGTAGTGTGGTGAGCGTGGTGGTGAGTGGTAGTGTGGTGAGCGTGGTGGTGAGCGTGGTGGTGAGTGGTAGTGTGGTGAGCGTGGTGGTGAGTGGTAGTGTGGTGAGCGTGGTGGTGAGCGTGGTGGTGAGTGGTAGTGTGGTGAGCGTGGTGGTGAGTGGTAGTGTAGTGAGCGTGGTGGTGAGCGTGGTGGTGAGTGGTAGTATAGTGAGCGTGGTGGTGAGCGTGGTGGTGAGCGTGGTGGTGAGGAGACCTTCCTGTCCCTCTTGAAGGCTGCGTTTGTCGGCACGAAGACGGTGAAGGGGCCCGGCCCAGCCAGCTCCGCCATCTTGTTCATCTGGACACACGGGGAGGGGCCAGACCCCACCACAGGCCATCACCACCATCATCACCATCACCACCATCATCACCATCACCACCATCATCAACATCATCATCACCATCACCACCATCATCAACATCACCACCATCATCACCATCATCATCAACATCACCACCATCATCACCATCACCACCATCATCACCATCACCACCATCACCACCATCATCAACATCATCATCACCATCACCACCATCATCAACATCACCACCATCATCACCATCATCAACATCACCATCATCATCAACATCACCACCATCATCACCATCACCACCATCACCAACATCATCACCATCACCACCATCATCAACATCACCACCATCATCACCATCACTACCATCATCAACATCACCACCATCATCAACATCACCACCATCATCACCATCACCACCATCATCAACATCATCATCACCATCACCACCATCATCAACATCACCACCATCATCACCATCATCAACATCACCATCATCATCAACATCACCACCATCATCACCATCACCACCATCACCACCATCATCAACATCACCACCATCATCACCATCACTACCATCATCAACATCACCACCATCATCAACATCACCACCACCATCATCACCATCACCACCATCATCACCATCACCACCATCATCAACATCACCACCATCATCACCATCACCACCATCATCAACATCATCATCACCATCACCACCATCATCAACATCACCACCATCATCACCATCATCAACATCACCATCATCATCAACATCACCACCATCACCACCATCATCACCACCACCACCATCATCATCAACATCACTATCACCATCACCACCATCATCAACGTCACCACCATCATCAACATCACCACCATCAACATCACCACCATCATCATCAACATCACCATCATCATCAACATCACCACCATCATCAACATCACCACCATCATCACCACTATCATCAACATCACCACCATCATCACCATCACCACCATCATCAACATCACCACCATCATCACCAGCATCACCACCATCATAACCATCACCACCACCATCATCAACATCATCACCATCACTATAATCACCACCATCACCACCATCATCACCATCATCAACATCATCACCATCACCACCATCATCACCATCACCACCATCATCAACATCACCACCATCATCACCATCACCACCATCATCAACATCACCACCATCATCAACATCACCACCATCATCAACATCACCACCATCATCACCATCACCACCATCATCAACATCACCACCATCATCACCATCACCACCATCATCAAAATCACCACCATCATCACCATCACCACCATCATCACCATCACCACCATCATCAACATCATCACCATCATCACCATCACCACCACCACCACCACCATCATCAACATCACCACCATCATCACCATCACGACCATCATCACCATCACCACCATCATCAACATCACCACCATCATCACCACCACCACCATCATCACCATCACCACCACCATCATCACCACCATCATCACCATCACCACCATCATCACCACCACCATCATCACCATCACCACCATCATCACCACCATCACCACCATCATCAACATCACCACCATCATCAACATCACCATCATCAACATCACCACCATCACCACCATCATCAACATCACCACCATCACTATCACCACCATCATCAACATCACCACCATCATCATCATCAACATCACCACCATCATCACCACCACCACCATCATCACCATCATCATCAACATCACCATCATCATCATCACCACCACCACCATCATCACCACCATCATCATCAACATCACCACCATCATCACCATCACCACCATCATCACCACCACCATCACCACCACCATCATCAACATCACCACCACCATCATCACCACCATCATCACTACCATCAACATCATCACCACCACCATCACCACCATCATCATCATCACCACCACCACCATCATCACCAGCATCACCATCAACATCATCACCACCATCATTACCACCACCATCATCAACATCACCATCACCACCACCATCATCAACATCACCATCATCACCACCATCACCACCATCATCACCACTACCATCATCAACATCATCACCATCACCACCACCATCATCACCACCATCACTACCATCATCACCACCACCATCATCATCACCACCACCATCATCACCACCATCACCACCATCATCACCACCACCATCATCACCACCATCACCACCACCATCATCACCACCACCATCATCACCACCACCATCATCACCACCATCATCACCACCACCACCACCAACATCAACATCACCAGCATCATCACCACCACCACCATCAACATCATCACCATCATCACCACCACCACCACCATCATCACAACCATCACTACCATCATCACCATCATCACCACCACCATCATCACCACCACCATCACCACCATCATCATCACCACCACCATCATCATCAACCCCACCATCAACATCATCAACATCATCACCAACATCACCACCAACATCACCACCAACATCGCCATCAACATCACAATTATCAGCAACATCACCATCAACAACATTACGAAGAACTTCATCATCAACTTTCATATCAACATCATCAACACATACTGTACCCATGTTCCTATGCCACTGAGCTCCTGCATTCCCATGCTGTCATGTGTCTCCGTGTCTCCGTGTCTCCGTGTCCCTGCGTCCTCCTGTCTCTGTCCCCACCACCCTGTCTCCCCACATCCCCGTGTCCCCGTGTCTCTGTGTCCCCGTGTCTCTGTGTCCCCGTGTCCTCGTGTCCCCGTGTCCCCGTGTCTCTGTGTCTCTGTCCCCACCACCCTGTCTGTCCCCGTGTCTCTGTCCCCACCACCCTGTCTGTCTCCCCACGTGTCTCCATGCTCCTACATCCCTGACTGCCCAAGTGTCGTCTCCATGTGACCCTGAGTAGGGGTGGAGGTGTCGGGGGGGCACTGTGGGGGGGGGGGGCACTGTGGGGGGGCACTGTGGGGGGGGCTCTGTGGGGGGGCACTGTGGGGGGGCACTGTGGGGGGGGGGCTCTGTGGGGGGGGCTCTGTGGGGGGGCACTGTGGGGGGGGCTCTGTGGGGGGGCAATGTGGGGGGGGGGCTCTGTGGGGGGGCTCTTTGGGGGGGCACTCACCTGCAGCTGGAGGAAGAATCCCCCGGCGTCGGAGTGAATGGAGAGCTCCTGCGGAGGAGCGGAGAGACAGGCGCGGGGTCATTACATCCTTGTGTGATCATCCATCAATCCTCACGAGATCATCGTCACGCGATCATTATCGTATCATCATGGCGATCATCACGATGATCATCATCGTAATCATCGCGCAACAATTATCATCACGGTGGCTAGGAGATGTTAACTACCTCGCCTGGTGTACAGGAGGTCGTGGGTTCAATCCCGACCCTGACTCTCTATCATCATCATCAAGGTGGCTAGGAGATGTTAACTACCTCGCCTGGTGTGCAGGAGGTCGTGGGTTCGATCCCGACCCTGACTCTCTATCATCATCATCATCAAGGTGGCTAGGAGATGTTAACCACCTCGCCTGGTGTGCAGGAGGTCCGCGGGTTCGATCCCATCCCTAACGCCTGCTGCTGTATATTTGTAGTTTGCGCGTCTCTCTCCCCGTGATCGTGTGGTCCTCCGGTTTTCCCCTCCACGTTTATAATCAACAACATCACGCGTTTAGAGTATTTGGCACGATGACGATGAGCCACCACGTTGAGCTATCATTCGTGATGGCCAGGTCGCTTCTGAAAAAGAGCTGTACAGCAGCTCGGCGTGGCCTTGCCCGGTAAAATAGAGAGACAATGGTTTTTCTGCATGGTTCTTTCGGTAAAAGTCACGTAGAATAGAAATAAAATAATAACAAAAATAAAACGCAATAAAATAAAATCCTCACAATGGTTTTTATTGGTTAACTTCCGCCATCAGCGGCGCAGGCCTTGGGCACTTTCAGGGCTGCGCCTTTAGCTCACCTGGAAGACCGTGCCCCGGCAAGTGTACCCGTCGCCCACGTAGCTCGGGTTGCAGGTGCACGTGCTGGTCCCAGGGCCCGTGTGGTTGCATTTGCCATAGAGGCTGCACCCGCCATTGCCCTGTCACATGGATACAGGTGGGGGGGGCGATCGTGAGGTGCGGGGGGGGGGGGGGCAGCTGTTTCCACCAAAGGGACAGCCTGCTCGCTCAGACTATAGCTGACTCACTGAGACTATAGCTGACTCACTCAGACTACAGCTGACTCACTGAGACTATAGCTGACTCACTGAGACTATAGTTGACTCACTGAGACTATAGTTGACTCACTGAGACTATAGCTGACTCACTGAGGCTATAGCTGACTCACTGAGACTATAGCTGACTCACTGAGACTATAGCTGACTCACGGAGACTATAGCTGACTCACTGAGACTATAGCTGACTCACTGAGACTATAGTTGACTCACTGAGACTATAGTTGACTCACTGAGACTGTAGCTGACTCACTGAGACTATAGTTGACTCACTGAGACTATAGCTGACTCACTGAGACTATAGCTGACTCACTGAGACTATAGCTGACTCACTGAGACTGTAGTTGACTCACTGACACTATAGCTGACTCACTGAGACTGTAGCTGACTCACTGATACTATAGCTGACTCACTGAGACTATAGCTGACTCACTGATACTATAGCTGACTCACTGAGACTATAGCACTCACTGAGACTATAGTTGACTCACTGAGACTATAGCTGACTCACTGAGACTTTAGCTGACTCACTGAGACTATAGCTGACTCACTCAGACTATAGCTGACTCACTGAGACTATAGCTGACTCACTGAGACTATAGCTGACTCACTGAGACTATAGCTGACTCACTAAGACTATAGTTGACTCACTGAGACTATAGTTGACTCACTGAGACTATAGCTGACTCACTGAGACTATAGTTGACTCACTGAGACTATAGCTGACTCACTGAGACTATAGCTGACTCACTGAGACTATAGCTGACTCACTGAGACAATAGCTGACTCACTGAGACTATAGCGGACTCACTGAGACTATAGCTGACTCACTGAGACTATAGCTGACCCACTGAGACGATAGCTGACTCACTAAGACTATAGTTGACTCACTGAGACTATAGCTGACTCACTGAGACTATAGCTGACTCACTCAGACTATAGTTGACTCAGAGAGACTATAGCTGACTCACTCAGACTATAGCTGACCCACTGAGACTATAGCTGACTCACTAAGACTATAGTTGACTCACTCAGACTATAGCAGGATCATTCAAACGATAGCAGTGTTAGGGTTCGTTTTAGTGCTAAGCATTCAGGCCAGTGTTGGGGCTAGAATTAGGACCAAATGTTCGGGTTAATGTTCGAGGCAGTGTTGGGGTTAGTGGTAATGGTGACGGTTGGGTTAGGGCCGGAGTAATGGTGGCGGTTGCCGTGGCGATGAGCGTACCACGCGGCACGGGTTGATGGACTCGCACGATGATTTCCCATCTCCCTGGAAACCGCGCAGGCAGTTGCACACGGCCTACACACACACACACACAAGACAAAGATCCCCCGTATAGCCTGAACACATCTTGGGGGCAAGTGCTGTTACCAGGTACCTTGCGAAAGCTGCCTTTCTCTCCCTGGTGGTGATGTTTATTACACACCGCACCAGGCACCCATTTACCGAGAGGAGGCCCAGGACCGGTTCAGATAATTGTCACCGGCTTTAGCCCCGAGCGGGAATTGAACTCAGGTGGCTGGGTTTGTAGCGCACCTGCGATAACCGCTGTGCCACCTCTCATAAATACAGAGACAAAGTTCCCCCGTGTAGCCTCTAACAGACTGCGCGCTACGAACCTGGCGACCCGAGTTCAATTCCCGCTCACGGCCAGGCCCAGTGAAGAATATCTTAACACGGTCCTGGGCCTCCCCCACCCCCCTAGGTCGACTCAGCCGCAAATGAGTGACCTGGCGCGGTGTGTAGCGAACATCGCCACTGGGGAGGCAAAGGCGGCCGGGCGTGGTGCTGGCCACCCACCCACCCCCTCTTGTGCCGTGCCGGCCTTCATAGGCGCTCGCTGTTAGTGAGCGCCTATGAAGCCTGTCCAAGGCTCACAAACACACACACACAGTCACACACACACACACAGACACACACACAGACACACACAGACACACACACAAGTCACACACAGTCACACACACACACACAGACACACACACACAAGTCACACACAGTCACACACACACACAGTCACACACACACACACAGACACACACACACAAGTCACACACAGTCACACACACACACACAGTCACACACACACACACAGACACACACACACAAGTCACACACAGACACACACACACACACAGTCTCACACACACACAGTCACACACACACACAAGTCACACACAGTCACACACACACACAGTCACACACAGACACACACAGACACACACACACAGTCACACACACAGACACACAGTCACACACACACACAGTCACACACAGTCTCACACACACACACAGTCACACACACACACACAGACACACAGACACACACACACAGACACACACACAGTCACACACAGACACACACACAGACAGTCACACACACACACAGACACACACACACAGTCACACACACAGTCACACACACACAGACACACACACAGTCACACACAGTCACACACACACACAGTCACACACACAGTCACACACAGACACACACAGTCACACAGACACACAGACACAGTCACACACACACACAGACACACACACAGTCACACACAGTCACACACACACACACAGTCACACACACACACAGTCACACACACACACAGACACACACACACACAGTCACACACACAGACACACACAGTCACACACACACACACAGTCACACACACACACAGACACACACACAGACACACACACAGACACACAGACACACACACACACAGACACACACACACACACACCCTGCTCAGGAGTCTGACCTTGTTGGGCCCAATGCGCGTGCACTCTGCGTTGGCGTGGCACCCGCCATTGTTTTCCAGGCACGGGTCAATTTCTGTCCCACGCGCACACCACAGACGCAAGGACCATCAACAGACTATCGGGGGGGAAAGCGCTGTAATTGTACGTGCGCGCGTGTGTGTGTGCATCTTAAAGTGCACCTAGCCTGGCACAAGCGCCGTGGTGGCGTCACCGCCACTTAGTGGCGAATGGCGGTTGCTGTTGTGCATCTGTACGTGTGTGTGTACCATTTGTACGTGCGTGTGCACCTTTACGTGTGCGCGCGTACCTCTGTGCGTGTGTGCGTACGTACCTCTGTACGTGTGTGTGTGTGCGTGCCTCTGTGTGTGTGTGCGTACGTACCTCTGTACGTGTGTGTGTGTGTGCGTGCCTCTGTGTGTGTGTGTGTGCGCGCGTGCCTCTGTGCGTGTGTGCGCGCGCGTGCGTGCGTGCGTGCCTTCACAGATGACTCCATCCCCAGTGAATCCCTGCATGCAGGTGCAGGTGCGAAGGCCGGGCTGGGTGCGTGTGCACGAAGCGAACACCGAGCAGCCCCCGTTGTCTCTCTGGCACGCGTCCACCGCTATGGGGTGGGGCGGGGGAGGGGAGGAGGTTACACAGACAAAGATCCCCCACCGTGTAGCCTCAACAGACTGTAGGGGCAAGTGCTGTTACGCGAGTGGCACTTATGAAGGCCGGTAACGGCACACGAGGGGGGGGGTGGCCAACACCACGCACGGCCGCCTTTGTCTCCCCAGTGGCGATGTTTACACGCCACACCAGGTACTCATTTTGAGGCTGAGTCGACCTAGGGGAGGCCCGGGACCGGTTCAGGTAATCGTCACTGGTGTTGGCCGTGAGCGGGAATCGAACCCGGGTCGCCGGGTTCGTAGCGCAGCGTAGCGCTAACCGTGACGGTGATGCTGATGTTTGTTGGTGATGTTGCTGGTGTTGAAGGCTCCAATGTTGATATTGATGGTGCTGATGTTGGTGATGTTGATGTTGAAGGTGATGTTGCTGGTGATGTCGATGTTGATGGTCCTGGTGTCAGTGTTGGCGATGCTGATGTCGATGGTGAGGTTGCTGGTGATGTTGATGGCCCTGGTGTGAGTAATGTAGATGGCGATGTTGATGGTCATGGCCCTGGTATCAACGATGGCGATGTTGATGGTGACGTTGACGGTGCTGATGTCAGTGACGTTGATGGCGATGGCGATGTTGATGGTGCTGATGACAGTGATGTTGATGGTGATGTTGATAGTGCTGATGACAGTGATGTTGATGGCGATGTTGACGGTGCTGATGTCAGTGACGTTGATGGCGATGTTGATGGTGCTGATGACAGTGATGTTGATGGTGATGTTGATAGTGCTGATGACAGTGACGTTGATGGCGATGTTGATGGTGCTGATGACAGTGATGTTGATGTTGATAGTGCTGATGACAGTGACGTTGATGACGATGTTGATGGCGATGTTGACGGTGCTAATGACGTTGATGACGTTGATGGCGATGTTGATGGCGTGCGCCGTTCCCTACCCGTGCAGTCACTGCCGTTCCCCGTGAACCCCGCGGCACAAACGCACGACGGGGCACCACCCCCAGCAGCGCCAGCTACACAGCTGGTGGGGGGGGGTCATGGGGTCAATGGGTCAGAGGTCATGGACTCGGAAGATCAAGAGGGAGAGAGGGGACAGCTTGTGTCGAGCAGTGGTTCTCAACCGGGGGTTCGCGGCAGCGTCCCAGGGGGTATGTGAAGAGGTGATTATAAATGTGTGACATTAGCTCGTACATGAGAGTCACTGGTGCATAGTCACGTGTGAATCTGCCAAGATAAAATAACTACGGGAACATTTAAACCCATTTGCATACCTGTCAACCCATTATCAGCGCCCTACCTAATTACACACCAATTCAGACCTTAACGTTCATCCTACAAAGCTCCATCACAAGGGAGAAGCACAGACAAAATACATTCTTTTGCCCGTATTGAAACGGCTGTACGCCTTACGGACCTCAATTCCCCTGTACAAGAATACGGGCTAAACCGTATGGGTCGACACGGTATGCGCATGGTAATCTGGAACGAGATAAAAGACCTTTCTAAACTCACTGATCGTCAACAGTGCGGGTTTCCAAGAGTAACCAGCCAGAGCGCGCAGGGCGGCCGCTGACAATTCTTTTTCATTCGCTTGCACGTGACCGGCTAGTCGGGATAATAGCTCGCGAAATGGACAATTCGTGAACACGTGGATGTTCATTATTAACACGTTAATTTCTCAGAACCCACGTGGGGTCAGGCAAGGCGCGGGGGTGACTGGGTTGTGTGTGTGCATGTAGATGACCTACTTGGCACTCGAGTGGCACGTCTTGTTGCAAAGGTCATCTTTTATTCCTGAAATGAACGCGCGGAATCGCCCTTAAGCATCATCGAGGGTCAGGGTCTATCCACTGCTCGCTTAAGTCCTCCTCAAGCCATCATTTTCGCCGTCAGTCAAGATCTATCCACTGCTGCATGAAAGCTTACCCGACCCAAACCATCATCAGCCGTGGTCCATGCGCTGTTTGATAATTGCCCCCACGTTATCATCATCGCCATTAGCATCAGAATTATCTTTCACCGATTGCTTCTCAGTAACTCAGCAAATTCACCCGGGACTGGAAAACCCGGGGTGGAGCCCATGGCCTCCTCAACCTGGTGCCACATGAAAGGACTGGAGGTCATGGGGTCAAGGGGTCAATGTGTGGCGAAGCTAAAACTCAACCAAACTATTTTTATTTTACCAGGTAAGGCTCAACCTGCCATGTAGCTCTTTTTCAGAAGCGACATGACCACCAATAATAGCCCAACGAAGTGGCTTATTATCATCATCGTCACGTGGAAATAAATTTATAGTAGCGGCCAAACACTCTAAAACGCGTGACTTTGATTCTAAATGCGGAGGGAAAAACCGGAGGACGGGAGAAAAATCCACGCGACGACGCGGAGAGAGAGAGAGAGAGACGCAAACTCCAAATACACAACAGGCGTCAGGGTCGGCATCGAACCCACGAACTCCTGGATACCAAGCGAGTTATTTAACATCTCCTAGCCAACGCGGTGCCCTAGGGAGCCAGAGCCACAGAAGGTGGACAGGGGCAGAGGGCCCCCCATTTCATTCCTCGGTTCCGGGGGCCCCGTGCAAACCACGCCCCCCCCCCCGCGTCACCGGGGTAAGGGGGTCAAGAGGTCGGGTCGTGGGTCACCCACGCTCGTCGCAGCGGATTCCACGCCAGCCCACGGCGCAGCTGCAGCTCCCGTCGCCCTGCTCGCCGTCCCGGCAGCGCCCGTTGACGCACACGCAGTCTGCACGCACGCACGCACGCACGCACGCACGCACGCACGCACGCACGCACGCACGCACGCACGCACGCACGCACGCACGCACGCACGCACGCACGCACGCACGCACGCACGCACGCACGCGAGTGTGAGCGCGAGTGTGAGTGCGAGCGCGATGTCGATGCACTATGAGCCCAGGTCACCGGGTTGAGAGTGCAGCGCACTGACTAATGTGTGCACACACGCCCATCGCGCACACACACATCACACCCCCATGACACATCGCAGACTTCCATCACACGCACACACACCACACACCGCACACACATCACACACACACCCATCAGACACTCACGCCAATCACACACACACACATCACACCCCCATGACACATCGCAGACTTCCATCACACACACACACCACACACCGCACACACATCACATGCACACCCATCAGACACTCACGCCAATCACACACACACACATCACACCCCCATGACACATCACAGACTTCCATCACACCCATCACACACATCACATGCACACCCATCAGACAGACACACATACACATCACACCCATCAGACACACACACACCCATCAGACACACACACACACACCCATCACACACAATCGCCCATCACACACGGCAGTCACCTTGCAGGCAGCTGTGGCCGAACTTCCCCGGCTCGCATTGCTGGCACGCGCGCCCCGTGTAGCCCTCCTGGCACGCGCACGTGCCCGTGCCGTTGAGCCCGTCGCTGCACACCCCGTGGCCCCCGCACGCCCCCCCCCCCACGCCGTCGGCCCCCGCCTCCACCTGCCCCGGGCAGGCGGCACACGGAGGCCCGAAGAAGCCCTCGCAGCAGTCGGCCGTCTACACGGAGGCGGTGGATTGGGGGGGGGTGGGCAGAGGTACGTCGTGAGCGTGCGTGCGTGGTGCACATAGCCCGGCACCATCGCCGCCGTGACGTCGCCGCCGCTTGGCGGCGAATGGCGGTTGTTGTTGTTGTTGCTGTGTGTTGAACGTGTGTCACGGAGGCAAAGGGTGCGTGCGTGCGTGCGCGTGTGCGTGTTGAACTTCTTTCGCAACCGTACGTAGTCAACCGTGCTAATCGTGGGTGCGGTGGGATGAGATCGAAGTGGACCTACAGCTCTGCTTTGTAGGCCTGGTCAAGATCGACAGGCCAGGGCTCTGGGTTGTTCTTCTCTCTGCTCACAATCATTGAGGACCTTCACGATGGTGGGCAGGCCTGGGTAAAGGTTAGTTTAACACGTAGGCTTTCATGACCAATATCATCCATAATACAGGTGTTCTGGGTTAGATTGCATAAATATAAATGTGTTGTTAAACCCGCCACCACCCTACATAGCAAGTTTGTAAGGCTTGTCACGTAAACGTGATGCTAGTTGTAATTACTGGTGAAACGTCGTACTCGGATTGTAAATGTTGCAGTGGATTTGCTCTCCAACACACCGGTGTGCTGTACTAGTAACACATTGGAACGTTCTGCTTACGTGAAAAACTTTACTAATTGGTTGTGTCGGGTGGTGGCGGGTTAAACAACACATTTATATTTACGTGATCAAACCCCAAACAAACCTATATTATGGCTGGGTAAAGCTATGTGGCCTGGAGTCAGAGCCATTCCCTGTTCACCTTGGGGCGCGAAAGGGATGCCATCTGGTCCCTAGATTACTTAACATCCATTTCGACCACGTAGTTCGAAAAGCTTTCCGTGGCTGTACCAGAGGAATCTCAATCTGGTACAGATACAATGGGAGGCTGATCTATGCCCGGGCGCTGTCAAGGGGATGGCTCCCGATTGGTCAACCATGTTACGTATCTTCTTTGGTTCTTTCGGTAAAGTCACGTAGAATGAGAATAAAATAATAAATTGATAAAATAAAATAACACAATAATATTCTCACGACGTTTCGGCCACAACACAAGCGGCCTTCATCAGGTGAAGGGACGAGACTGTCCTCCAGACTGTCCTCCAGACAGTCTCGTCCCTTCACCTGATGAAGGCCGCTTGTGTTGTGGCCGAAACGTCGTGAGAATATTATTGTGTTATTTTATTTTATCAATTTATTATTTTATTCTCATTCTACGTGACTTTACCGAAAGAACCAAAGAAGATGAATCCTTGCAGTCACGAAAGCTTTAAATCGAAACATGTTACGTATGCCGATGATCTGAAAATCGCTGCCCACTTGGAGGAGTTTGTGACGCTGTTGGCTGACCTAGAGCGCGCTACTAAGAGATGTGGCCTTACCCCATCAGCACCACAAAAACAAAGCACCTGCCCGGGTATTTTGTGCCACCTCCTGCACTGTGAGTGATGGGGCAGTTGTGTAGAGAGTGGAGAAGTCTCCATACTTGGCTGCGATGGCTGGGTCACGTAGCCCGCGTGACCCAGCCACCGCATGCCCAAGCAGATTCTGTTTGGCCGCACAGGGAGGGCTAGATGGGCGCGGCACGGACTAGTGGAGAGATGGAGCTGATGCGGTACAAGAGGACGTGGAGCTGAGTGGACTTGCCGATGACCGGTACCAGCGATGTCAAGATCGGCCTCTGTGGAAGAGGCTCGTGAAGGACGCTGCTACTGGGCAGTTGGAGGCAGTCGCCCTCCAACAACAACGGAGGGCGGAGGAGCGACGCTCACAACAACGAGCGGAGCGCCGGGCGGCTAAAACGCAGCGAGTTGGTACAGCGGGGAGCACAGGCGATGCATCCATCGGTCATCCCAGTCGGTCAACCCATGGCACCCGGGTCTGTCCAGTAACTTCCTACCAGCAGCGAGCCATCGAGACTTCGCGTGGCCTCAAAGGACGCACCTAGCCTGGCACAAGAGCCGTGGTGACGTCACCGCCACTCAGCGCTGTTGTTGTTGTTGTTGTTGCTGTTGGTGGCCACTCACGATGACGGTGCGTGCACAGTTGGAGCGGCAGCCCAGGAACATCTGGCGGCGGCCCAGGAAGTAGCGGAGGTAGATGCAGTTAGACTTGCGGCGTGGACCCGGACCCTCCTGCACACGAGCGGGTGAACACGTGTGGGTGAACGCACCGGCGCGCGGGTGAACACATGGGTGAACTACACGTGGGTGAAGACGAGCGGGTGAACACATGGGTGAACAACACATGGGTGAAGACGCGCGGGTGAAGACACGCGGGTGAACAACATGTGGGTGAACGGACCGGTGCGCGGGTGAACACATGGGTGAACTACACGTGGGTGAAGACGAGCGGGTGAACACATGTGGGTGAACGTGCTGGTGCTCGCGTGAACACATGGGTGAACAACACGTGGGTGAAGACGCGCAGGTGAAGACGCATGGGTAAACGCACTGGTGCGCGTGTGAACACATGGGTGAACAACACGTGGGTGAACAAGTGTGGGTGGATACACGGGTGAACAACAAATTGGTAACACGCGCGGGTGAATACAGATGTTCATGTGGGTGAGCATGCGGGTGAACACGCGGATAAACACACAGGTGTGTATGCGCAAGTGAACACACACGCAAGTGAACATGCACATCCTGCTCTGTACACACAAGAACAAACACACGTGAATGCACACGCACTAACAAACGAACACATGCATGAATACAAGAATGTACAGGTGTTCATGTCGTCGTGCAGGAGTTCACGTGGTAGTACAGGTATAAATGTAGTTATATAGGTGTTCACGTGATTGGACGGGTGTTCACGTGGTTTTACAGGTGTTCACGTGACTGAACAGGTGTTCACGTGCTTGTACAGGCGTTCACGTGCTTATACAGGTGTTCACGTGGCTGTGCAGGTGTTCATGTGGTTGTGCAGGTGTTCGCGTGACTGAACAGGTGTTCACATGCTTCCACAGGTGTTCACGTGCTTGTACAGGTGTTCATGTGCTTGTGCAGGTGTTCGCGTGACTGAACAGGAGTTCACGTGCTTCCACAGGTGTTCACGTGCTTGTACAGGTGTTCACGTGCTTGTACAGGTGTTCATGTGCTTGTGCAGGTGTTCGCGTGACTGAACAGGAGTTCACGTGCTTCCACAGGTGTTCACGTGCTTGTACAGGTGTTCATGTGGTTGTGCAGGTGTTCACGTGACTGAACAGGTGTTCACGTGCTTGTGCGTTCACGTGCTTGTACAGGTGTTCATGTGCTTGTGCAGGTGTTCGCGTGCCTGAACGAGTGTACGGGTGTCCAGGTAGCACTCACCACAGGCACCGTGCCAAGAGGGCAGTCGGGCTTGAATTGGCAGCTCGAGCATTTGCTCTGAGATGGAAACACGGGGTCAGAGGTCACACGGGGGTCACACGGGGTCGGGGTCACATGGGGTCGGGGTCACACGGGGCCATGCGGTCACGAGGTCAGAATCAACAGTGTCAAAGTTTCAAGGTCATCAATTTCGTGTTCCGAGGTGACACCAGGGATAGGATCTCACGAGGGAGTGAGACGCGGGGCGCGAGTCTGCCGACCGAGTAGCGAGGTGGCCGACGAGTGCTGCTCCGTGCGATCCCAACGGAGCGACTTGTGGGTAATGGTGGGATTGGCGAAAAAGTTTAACCTTGACACAGCGAAGTGAGAGAGGGGGCGTGGCAGAGCGAATGTTTGTGCGAGCGGCGACGCAGGGGTTAGCACCGCGCTGCTCTGCGGTCCTGGCGACCCGGAATTTATAGCAGCCAAATACTCTCAAAGCGTGATTCTACGTGTGCAAGGAGGAACCCGGAGGGCCCGGAAAACATCCACGGGACCACGGCGAGAGAGAGAGAGAGAGACACGCAAACTCCAAATATACAGCAGCAGGCGTCAGGGTCAGGATCGAACCCACGACCTCCTGTATACCAAGCGAGGTAGTTAACATCTCCTAGCCACCGTGATGATGATGAGAGAGAGAGAGACACGCAAACTCCAAATATACAGCAGCAGGCGTCAGGGTCAGGATCGAACCCACGACCTCCTGTACACCAGGCGAGGTAGTTAACATCTCCTAGCCACCGTGATGATGATGAGAGATAGACACGCAAACACCAAATATACAGCAGGCATCGTTAGGGTCGGGATCGAACCCACGACCTCCTGCGTACCAGGCGAGGTAGTTAACATCTCCTAGCCACCATGATGATGATGAGAGAGAGACACGCAAACTCCAAATATACAGCAAGCGTCAGGGTCGGGATCGAACCCACGACCTCCTGTATACCAGGCGAGGTAGTTAACATCTCCTAGCCACCGTGATGATGAGAGAGAGACACGCAGACTCCAAATATACAGCAGCAGGCGTCAGCGTCGGGATCGGACCCACGACCTCCTGCGTACCAGGCGAGGAAGTTAACTACGCTCACGGACGACGGCAACGAATCTCCCCGGCTGGTTGCTTCCTTTGACGGCCTCGGGGAACTCGTGGCCATGGAGTGAGATTTCGTTCACGCGGGAATTCGATTGCGTTCATCTAAAAGCGTCCGCAATTTGTCAAACGCGAAATGTCGTACACGGAACATTCCTAGATCGAGGGATACCTGGATAAGGGGGATCTTACCCCTTCGTGAGGGTGAGCGAGTGAGGGTGAGCGAGTGAGGATGAGTGAGTGAGGGTGAGTGAGCGAGCGAGGGTGAGCGAGTGAGTGAGGGTGAGCGAGTGAGGGTGAGCGAGTGAGGGTGAGCGAGTGAGTGAGCGAGTGAGCGAGGGTGAGTGAGCGAGTGAGGGTGAGCGAGTGAGGGTGAGCGAGTGAGGGTGAGTGAGCGAGTGAGAGTGAGCGAGTGAGGGTGAGCGAGTGAGGGTGAGTGAGCGAGTGAGCGAGGGTGAGTGAGCGAGTGAGGGTGAGCGAGTGAGTGAGCGAGTGAGCGAGGGTGAGCGAGTGAGGGTGAGCGAGCGAGCGAGTGAGGGTGAGCGAGTGAGTGAGGGTGAGCGAGTAAGGGTGAGTGAGTGAGGGTGAGCGAGTGAGTGAGTGAAGGTGAGCGAGTGAGTGAGGGTGAGCGAGTGAGGGTGAGTGAGTGAAGGTGAGCGAGTGAGTGAGGGTGAGCGAGTGAGGGTGAGCGAGTGAGGGTGAGTGAGTGAGGGTGAGCGAGCGAGTGAAGGTGAGCGAGCGAGTGAGGGTGAGCGAGCGAGTGAGGGTGAGTGAGTGTGGGTGAGCGAGTGAGGGTGAGCGAGCGAATGAGTGTGAGCGAGCGAGTGAGTGTGAGGGAGCGAGTGAGTGTGAGCGAGCGAGTGAGTGTGAGCGAGCGAGTGAGTGTGAGCGAGCGAGTGAGTGTGAGCGAGCGAGTGAGTGTGAGCGAGCGAGTGAGTGTGAGCGAGCGAGTGAGTGTGAGCGCACCAGCGTGAGTGTGAGTGAGCGAGTGAGTGTGAGCGAGCGAGTGAGTGTGAGCGAGCGAGTGAGTGTGAGCGAGCGAGTGAGTGTGAGTGTGAGCGCACCAGCGTGAGTGTGAGTGAGTGTGAGCGCACCAGCGTGAGTGTGGTCTCGTTGGTGTCACAGCGGTTGTGCAGCACGGACAGCACGCGTGCCACTCCGTGCACCACGCCGCGGTCCGTCTCCACGTCCGCGTTGTCCACCGCCACGTTGTTCACCAGCAGCTGAGACGCAACAGCATCGTCCGGCATCGTCATCATCCGCGTCGTCGTCATCATCGTCGTCATCATCGTCGTGATCGTCGTCATCGTCATCATCGTTGTCATCGTCATCATCATCGTCGTCGTCGTCATCGGTGTCATCATCGTCATCATCATCGTCGTCGTCATCGGTGTCGTCATCGTCGTCATCATCATCGTCGTCGTCATCGGTGTCGTCATCGTCGTTATCGTCATCATCATCGTCGTCGTCGTCATCATCATCGTCATCGTCGTCATCATTGCCGTCATCATCGTCGTCATTGTCGTCAACATTATCATCGTTGTCGTCATCGTCGTCATCATCATCGTCGTCGTCATCGTCGTCATCATCGTCATCGTCATCGTCGTCATCATCATCATCGTCGTCGTCATCATCATTGTCATCGTCGTCATCGTCGTCAACATCGTCGTCATTGTCGTCATCATCATGATCGTCATCATCATCATCATCGTTGTCGCCATCGTCGCCATCATCATCATCATCATCGCTGTCGTCATCGTCGTCGTCATCATCATCATCGTTGTCGTCATCGTCGTCATCGTCGTCATCATCGTCATTGTGTGCTCGTCGAGTGCAGCGCCGTGCCTGTCCGTCGTGGGAGAAGAATCCCAGCTGGTAGGAGGCGCCCAGCATGGTGGGGCGGTGCATGCCGGCCCGCAGGTCCCGCGCCATCAGCTTCTCTCCCAGGATCACGTGGTACATCACCTGCTCGTCATTCTGCACACACACGAGAGACAAAGGTAACCCGTGTAGCCTCAACAGACTTTTGGGGCAAGTGCGGTGAGCGAGCACGGCACACGACGGGTTGGCCTTGGGGAGAACCCAGGACCGGTTCAGACAATCGTCACCGGTGTTGGTCGGGAATCGAACTCGGGTCGCCGGGTTCGTAGCGCAGTTCGCTAACCGCTACACTACCGTTACCCGCATTCTGCACACACACACACAGACAAAGGTCCCCCATGTAGCCTTTTGCAGATTGCTGGGGCAAGTGCCGTTAGCAAGTAGGACCTATGAAGACCGGCACGGCACACCTATGAGCGGGTGGTGTGTCACAGTGCTGCTGTTTACACGTCCACACATAACAACAACAACCGCCATTCGCCACTAAGTGGCGGTGATGTCACCACGACGCTTGTGCCAGGCCATGTGCACCTTGAGGCCACGTGAAGTGTCGAACGCCCGCTGGCAGGAGGTCACGGGGCAGACCCAGGTGCCACGGGTCGACTGACTGAGACGACTGGCTGATGCACCACCTGTGCCCCCTACTGTGCCAACCTGCTGCACTTTAGCCACCCGGCGCTCCGCTCGTTGTTGTGAGCATCGCTCCTCCGCCCTCCGTTGTTGTTAGAGGGCGACTGCCTCCAACTGCCCAGTAGCGTCCTTCACGAGCCTCCTCCACAGAGGCCGATCTTGACACCGCTGGTACCAGTCGTCGGCAAGTCCACTCAGCTCCACGTCCTCCTGTACCACATCACTCCATCTCTTCTCTAGCCCGTGCCGCGCCCGTTTAGCCCCCTCGATCCGGCCGAACAAAAGCTGTTTCGGCATGCGGTGGCTGGGCATGCGGGCTACGTGACTCAGCCAATGCAGCTTTGCCTGCCGGAGGAGCTCACCGATGGGACCCTACCCAGATCTTTCAAAGATTTGTGAGCTCCTCACACAATCCATCCTGGTTAAACCCAGGATGGATCGTAGGCAGGCTAGCCTAAATGTTTCTAACCGGCGAAGATGCTCGATTAAGGGGGTCCACGTTTCGCAAGCGTAGAGAAGGGAGGGAATAAGCGTGGCCGAGAAGACCTAAAGCTTAGTGCGGAGCGATAGACCAGGTAGCTTCCACACAGCGTTACACAACCGATGAAAAGATATTGCCGCTCGACTGATTCGGAGACCTCTGCTGTTAAACTGGAGCCGGTCATAAGCACACTGCCCAGGTATGGGAAACTCTCCACTCTCTCCACAACTGCCCCATCACCGATTGGGAGTTGTGTGGGTGGAGTGTCCGATGGTACAAAATACCCCAGGCAGGTGCTTAGTTTTGGTGGGGCTGACGGTAAGGCCCCACCTCTTAGTGGCACGCTCCAGTCTCAGCAGCAGCGTCTCAAACGCCTCCTCTGAATGAGCAGCTACTACCAAATCATCGGCATACATAACGTGGTTGAGCAACACGCACACACACACGCACTCCACGTGTATATTCGCACACATGCACGTAGACATTCTTGGCTGGAGTCTAGATTGTATGTACAGTAAAACCTTGGATTGCGAGCACAATTCGTTCCGGAAACGTGTTTGTAATCCAAAGCACTCGCATATCAAAGCACTCGCATATCAAAGCACTCGTATATCAGTTGTGATCACGTGACGCTCGGCAGTACAAAGCATGTACACGTACTACTACTACTCATATTGCAAGACCCTCGCTCGTTTATCAAATTAATATTTACTTTAAAAAATGTGCTCGTCTTGCGAAACACTCGCAGACCAAGTTACTCGCAATCCACAAGGTTTTACTGTACATGTTGAACTTCTTTTGTACCATACGTAGCCAACCGTGCTGAATCGGCGGTGCAGGTGAAGGACAACAAACTAACACAACAACAAGGAGTTCTACAGAAATGAGTTTGTCAACCTAGACGATGATTCAAAAGTGCATCACAGCTCCCAGTGGCTTCCTGATATCGGAAGGAAGAGCGTTCCAGACGGCCGCAGCAGCGGCGCCATCTGCAAGCGCCGCGATGTGGTGACCACCACCGGAGTTTGCGTGGTGATGGTTCATAGCTCGTTGACGAGATCGGCGAGGTGATTGTGGTTCTTTATTTTTGTTTTTACGATCAGAGGAAACAAGAAGATGCTCGGTGTAGTCGGCACTTTGCTCCGTTCATCATTTCGGTTTTTTTGTTTTTATGCTTTGCTTTATATAAACCCCCCCCCCATTTTAAATGAAAGACCCAACAAAATATTGTTTTCTTTTTTTAGTCTGCTCTCCTTACCCCTTCCCTCTCTCTCTACCCCCCTCTCTGCCCCCCCTCTCTCTCTGCCCCCTCTCTTCCTACTCCATTTCGCTCTCTCTCTCTCTCGGTCACTCTCTCGCTCTCTCTCCCTTTTTTATAACTACGACAAGTGCTGCATCTGCACGCAGCCCTTCCCACAGTCAAACGGCCTCCGACGGGTAGCTCACTCATATCTGCACGCACAGAGCTCTCCACCGTCATCTGCCACCGAGCACGCGGCCTCCTCCGGCGCCCACTGCTCCTTGAAGGCCGGCACGGCGTGGGTCAGCCGCGCGGTGATTGTGGTTTCATTCGTGGCAAGCACTTTGTGTGCGTGCTGAGTGCGACCTTTTAACGAATTCGTTCGGCAACCGGAAGCCAATGGCGCTCTGCGAGCACCGCACGGACACGTTGGGACCTTGCGCTGCCCCGTCACGACCCGTGCCCGAGAATGTTGCACACGCTGCAGCTTGGTGGCGATGTTTTTTTGTTTGTTTTGCCAGACGTCCAGTAGAGCAGTGAGTTGCAATGATAGTGTCAGGGCTGGCGAGAGGTGCCCGGGCGTGTGGGCTGGTGTGGAAATAGGGTCAGGGATTAAGGTTGAGGGGGTGGGGGTTCAAGAGGGGGGTGGGGGCTGTGGGTGGGGGGCTGGCTAATGGGAGGTACCGGGTGCGTGGGTCGCTCTTTGCGGAATTGGTCCATGGCCTCCTGGCTGGGAGCGAACACCGTGTAGGCCTCGGACCGCTCGACCCGCCCGATCAGCTCGTACTCCTGGTAAGCACAGGGGTGAGCGAGCACGGGGGTGAGTGGGCGAGTGGGTGAGTGACTCGGTGAGCGAGTGACTCGGTGAGTGAATGGGTAAGTGACTTGGTGAGCGACTCAGTTAGTGAGCGGGTGAGTGGGTGGGTGAGTGAGCGAGTGGGTGAGTGAGTGAGTGAGTGGGTGGTGAGTTAGTGGGTGAGTAGGTGGGTGGGTGAGTGAGTGGGTGAGTGAGTGGGTGGGTGAGTGTGTGATTGGGTGAGTGAATTAGTGAGTGACTCGGTGAGTGAGTGAATGGGTGGGTGAGTGGGTGAGTGAGTGGGTAAGTGGGTGGGTGAGTGAGTGGGTGAGTGAGTGGGTGGGTGAGCGCGTGATTGGGTGAGTGAATGAGTGAGCGAGCGAGTGGGTGGGTGGGTGGGTGAGTGAGTTGGTGGGTGGGTGAGTGGGTGGGTGGGTGGGTGAGTGAGTGAGTGAGTGGGTGGGTGGGTGGGTGAGTGAGCGAATGAGTCAGCGAGTAAGTGGGTGGGTGGGCGGGTGAGTGAGTGGGTGAGTGGGTGAGTGATTGGGTGAGTGAGTGGGTGAGTGGGTGAGTGATTGGGTGAGTGAGTGCGTGGGTGGGTGGGTGAGTGAGTGAGTGAGTTGGTGGGTGGGTGAGTGAGTGATTGGGTGGGTGGGTGAGTGAGTGGGTGAGTGGGTGAGTGGATGGGTAGGTGGGTGAGTGAGTGAGTGAGTGGTGGGTGGGTGGGTGGGTGGGCGGGTGAGTGGGTGGGTGAGTGCGTGATTAGGTGAGTGAATGCGTGAGCGGGTGAGTGGGTGGGTGGGCGGGTGAGTGAGTGAATGAGTGAGTGGGTGAGTCATTGTGTGAGTGAATGAGTGAGTGGGTGAGTGAGTGGGTGAATGAGTGGGTGGATGTGTGGGTGAGTGGGTGAATGAGTGGTTGAGTGGGCGAGTAGATGGATGGGTGGGAGAGTGAGTGAGTGAGTGGGTGGGTGGGTGGATGGGTGGGTGAGTGAATGAGTGGGTGGGTGAGTGGGTGGGTGGATGGGTGGGTGAGTGAATGAGTGGGTGGGTGAGTGGGTGGGTGAGTGAATGAGTGGGTGGGTGGGTGGGTGGATGGGTGGATGGGTGAATGAATGAGTGGGTGGGTGGGTGGATGGGTGGGTGAGTGAATGAGTGGGTGGGTGAGTGGATGGGTGGGTGAGTGACCGTGAGGAGCTCCTGGAATGTGCTGTATTGAGGCATCTGTCCGAGCCGCGTGTGGAGATCGGGGAGATTCTGAATGTTGCGTGACGGCAGCACCATCTGACACGACAGCCATAACAACAACCACAACAACCACGACAATCACAATCACCACACAAATAACCACGTGTAGCCTGTAACAGACTGTTGGGGCAAGTGTGCCGGAATGGCACACGAGGTGGTGGGTATGGCGAGCACCACGCCCGGCCGCAGTTGTAATGTTAACACATCCCATCAGGTGCTCATTTGAGGCCGAGTCGACCTAGGGGAGGCCCAGAACCGGTTAACCGATACACACACACACACAGAGACACGTGTCTCTGTGTGTGTGTGTGTAGCGCTAACCGCTACACACACACACAGAGACACGTGTGTCTGTGTGTGTGTGTGTCTGGAACCTCACGCTTATCCCAAGCCTGCACAGTCATCCCTGCTATGGTAGCGGTGAATTCCCCTCTTCATTTACGAACGCGATTGTCGATTATCGGGGGTGAGTGCAGGTGGTGAGCGCAGGTGCTGAGCGGGATGCTCACCCGGTCGATGACGTGGACGATGCCGTTGGATGCCATCACATCGGAGGCCACCACCATCGCATCCCCGATGGTCAAATTCTGCGATGGGAGAACACTGCTTGTATCACGGCGATGGTGATGAATCCTAAGACTCGTGTTCAGGAGGGTCCTGCCGCCCCTGCCGCTACATTGGAGGTGTTTATCTGTCAGATGTCTTCAGCCCAACTAATGGCGAGTCGTATGCATCATTATCATCGTCATCGTCGTCGTTGTTGTTGTTGTTGTTGTCGTTCACGTGGGTGAGGATACCGGAGCACCCGGAGAAAACCTCCCACGTCTTGCGCGAGAGGGGGCAACGCTGTATCCCCGTCAAGATGGGACAGATGGAGATTAGTCCACACCGTGCTGTGGCGCCTTCTCCTGGCTGAGCCAGGGCTACGGCTCCTCCTCGACGCCCACGGGGAAAAGAAGAACAAGAAGAACAAGAAGAACAACAAGAAGAACAAGAAGAAGAACACGAAGAACAAGAAGAACAACAATAAGAATAAGAAGAATAAGACGAAGAAGAAGAACAAGAAGAAGAAGAACAAGAAGAAGAACAAGAACAACAAGAAGAACAAGAAGAACAAGAACAAGAAAAAGAACAAGAAGAACAAGAAGAACAACAAGAAGAACAAGAAGAAGAACACGAAGAAGAACAAGAAGAAGAACAAGAAGAAGAACAAGAAGAAGAACAAGAAGAAGAACAAGAAGAAGAACAAGAACAACAAGAAGAAGAACAAGAAGAAGAACAAGAACAAGAACAACAAGAAGAACAAGAACAAGAAAAAGAACAAGAAGAACAAGAAGAACAAGAACACGAAGAACAAGAAGAACAAGGAGAAGAACAAGAAGAAGAACAAGAAGAAGAACAAGAACAAGAAGAAGAAGAACAAGAAGAAGAAGAACAAGAAGCATAAGAACAAGAAGCATAAGAACAAGAAGAACAAGAAGAAGGCCACGTGCAGCAGCGTAGCCACCGCCACCGGCACTGCGTGGCTCAAGGCACTCATAAAGACAAAGACAAAGCCCCACTCCCCGCCCCACAGTCTACGCAGGCTGTTGGGGCAAGTGCCGTCAGTCAGCAGCACCTATGCAGGCCGGGATGGCGTACGAAGGGGTGGCGTGTTCAGCACCGCCCCCTGGCTGGCTTTGTCTGCCCAGCGCCGATGTTTACACACCCAGGGCTGGCACAGGATCGCTTCCGGTGATCGCCACTGACGTTAGCCGTGAGCGCGAATTAAACTCGGGCCGCTCCCGTGCAGCGTCTTAACACACGCCCGGCAGTGAGTGGCGTGCGCATGCACACCACTCACCACACACACCACTCACCACACACACCACGCACCACACACACCACACACCACACACACCACTCACCACACACACCACACACACCACACACCACACACACCACACATACCACACACACCACACACCACACACCACACACACCACACACACCACACACACCACTCACCACACACACCACACACACCACACACCACACACCACACACACCACACACACCACACACCACACACACCACACACCACACACACCACGCACCACACACCACACACCACACACACCACACACCACACACACCACGCACCACACACACCACACACCACACACACCACGCACCACACACCACACACCACACACACCACACACCACACACACCACGCACCACACACACCACGCACCACACACCACACACCACACACACCACTCACCACACACACCATGCACCACACACACCACACACCACACACACCACGCACCACACACCACACACCACACACACCACACACCACACAGACCACGCACCACACACACCACACACCACACACACCACGCACCACACACACCACACACCACACACACCACACACCACACACCACACACACCACACACACCACACACACCACGCACCACACACACCACACACCACACACACCACGCACCACACACCACACACACCACACACACCACTCACCACACACACCACACACCACACACACCACACACCACACACCACACACACCACGCACCACACACCACACACCACACACACCCCGCACCACACACCACACACCACTCACCACACACCACACACACCACGCACGCCGGGCTGAGAGTCAGGGATGAACTTCGGTCGGGTCTGTCCGGGTCGGCAAAACCCAGCACACCGCATCCAGGATATCTCTCGCTGTAAGCCGCGGCTGCCAGTTGTCACGTGCCACGTACGGGGCGCCACGGTGGCAAGATGTTAACTACCTCGCCTGGTACACAGGAGGTCGTGGGTTCAATCCCAACCCCTGGAGTTGGCATGTTACCCCCGCGGTCACAAGGGATTGTTCTCTGGGTCCTCCAGTTTTCCCCTACACATCGAGAAACATGCATTTAGAGTATTTGGCTGCTATAAACTTACACATTACTTCGCTGAGCTATCGTTTGTGGCCAGGTCGCGACTGACGGAAGAGCTACATAGCTCAGTGGGCCTCACCTGGTAAAATAAACACAATTGTTGCCCTTCACTCTGTGCTCCACTGCCAACGGCACGGGAGAATTAACGCTCTGGCCGAAGGGTGACGATCGGGGGTGGGGGGGTCAGAGGTCAGGGGTCAGGGCTCGGTGGATCGGGGTGGCAAGGGTCGGGGGTGGGCAAGGGCGGCACCGTGCGTGAGCGGCCGAGGAGGAGCGTGGTGCCGGGCTGCAGCGTGGGCAGGCGGGTGCTGCCCCGCGACTCCAACTCCTGCAGGGAGAACCTTCCGGGCAGCACGTGCATCCTGCACGCCACGTGGGGGGTTTGGCAAAGGCAAAGATAAAGAACCCTGCCCCCCCCCCCCGCCCCTTCCCCGTGTAGTGTTTAACCGCAACGTCGGGGCGTGTGGGTAGTGTGGCCCAAAACCATGTCCGGGCCGCCTTTGTCTCCCCAGCGGTGACGCTTTTCCACGATGCATCAGGTACAAATTTTAGGGTTGAGTCGAGCTAGGTGAGGCCCAGGACCCGTTAAGATATTCGCCAGCGATGTTGGACGTTCGGAGCGCAGCGCGTTGACCGCTCCACTGCCGCTCCCCACAAAGACAAAGATCCCCCCCGTGTAGCGTTGAACAGAAACGTCGGGGCGAGTGCCGTGAGCAAGCAGCACACACGACAGAGTCGGTGACGGTGGCGCGCGCGTGTGTGTGTGCGTGTGTGCGTGCGTGTGTGCGCGTGTGTGTGTGTGCGTGTGTGCGTGCGTGTGTGTGCGTGTGTGCGTGTGTGTGTGTGTGCGCGTGTGTGTGTGTGCGTGTGTGCGTGCGTGTGTGCGTGTGTGTGTGTGTGCGTGCGTGTGTGTGCGTGTATGCTGTGTGTACTCTGTGTATGTGCTGTGTGTGTGTGTGCTGTGTGTACTCTGTGTGTGTGTGCTGTGTGTCATCTGTGTGTGTGTGCTGTGTATCATCTATGTGTGTGTGCTGTGTGTACTCTGTGTGTGTGCTGTGTGTACTCTGTGTGTGTGCTGTGTGTACTCTGTGTGTGTGCTGTGTGTGCTGTGTGTGTGTGCTGTGTGTACTCTGTGTGTGTGTGCTGTGTGTCATCTGTGTGTGTGTGCTGTGTATCATCTGTGTGTGTGCTGTGTGTCATCTGTGTGTGTGTGCTGTGTGTCATCTGTGTGTGTGTGCTGTGTGTCATCTGTGTGTGTGTGCTGTGTGTCATCTGTGTGTGTGTGCTGTGTGTCATCTATGTGTGTGTGCTGTGTGTCATCTGTGTGTGTGTGCTGTGTATCATCTATGTGTGTGTGCTGTGTGTACTCTGTGTGTGTGCTGTGTGTACTCTGTGTGTGTGTGCTGTGTGTCATCTGTGTGTGTGTGTGCTGTGTGTCATCTGTGTGTGTGTGCTGTGTGTACTCTGTGTGTGTGTGCTGTGTATCATCTATGTGTGTGTGCTGTGTGTCATCTGTGTGTGTGTGCTGTGTGTACTCTGTGTGTGTGTGCTGTGTGTACTCTGTGTGTGTGAGCTGTGTATCATCTATGTGTGTGTGTGCTGTGTATCATCTATGTGTGTGTGTGTGTGCTGTGTGTGTCGCGGCGGTGTGGCCGGCTCACTTGACAGCGCTGGCCGCCTCGCGCTCGCCGCTCCACGTCGTGTTGGCGATGACGCTCGCGGCGGGCACCAGCACGGTGAAGTTCCCGGAGGCCAGCGCCTCCCTGAGCGAGGCCCTCTGTGGGCCCACACGCAGACACGGCGAGGCCATATTTGGGGTTGTCCTTCGCCCCACCGCGTTCAACGCGTGCGCGTACGTGGACACAAGGTGAGCCGGAGGCCCCTCCCCCTTAACCCCTCCCTCCCTTCCTTGGCCCTGCCCACTTTCACACAGCCACGCCCACTCGCCGACTCAATCACCTGCACGCACCCACTCACTCGCCTGCACACGTGCCAACTCACTCACCTGCGCAATCACTCGGCCGCGTATCCACCTACTCACCCAACCACTCACCCACCTATCCACTCACCCACCGACTCACCCACCCACTCGTCCACCTCCCCAACCATACACTCACTCACATCACCTACTCACCCACTCACCACCGACTCACCTCAACCCAGGCATTGAACGGAGCAAACACGAAGGCAGACGCCAGCGTCTGAAAATGGAAGACACAAATCATGGGCATCAACCCAGCTCCCCCTGGGCCTCACTCCTACCCCAGGTCCACCTGGGCCACTCATTGCAATCCAACATTCTCTGAGCGACCCAATCAATTCCCCGGTCGTTCCAGGTCCCTCCTGCGAACCCAATGTCCCCTTGAGTCATCACTGCAAATCCCAGGTCTCCCTGGGTTCCGAATCCATTCCTCCGACTCCAGGTTACCCCAGATTCCTACTGCAAACCAAGATCTCTCTGGGCCCCGATTATATATCCCCAGGTCCCCCTAGGACCCTACTGTTGTCCATCATACCTCGACCCCCACCCTCACCGTGACCAGGTCCCCCTCCACCCCCACCTCACCGTGACCAGGTCCCCCTCCACCCCCACCCCCACCTCACTGTAACCAGGTCCCCCTCCACCCCCACCTCACCGTGACCAGGTCCCCCTCCACCCCCACCCCCACCTCACCGTGACCAGGTCCCCCTCCACCCCCACCCCCACTCTCACCGTGACCAGGTCCCCCTCCACCCCCACCTCACTGTGACCAGGTCCCCCTCCACCCCCACCTCACCGTGACCAGGTCCCCCTCCACCCCCACCCCCACCTCACTGTAACCAGGTCCCCCTCCACCCCCACCTCACCGTGACCAGGTCCCCCTCCACCCCCACCCCCACCTCACCGTGACCAGGTCCCCCTCCACCCCCACCCTCACTCTCACCGTGACCAGGTCCCCCTCCACCCCCACCCCCACTCTCACCGTGACCAGGTCCCCCTCCACCCCCGCCCCCACCCCCACCTCACCGTGACCAGGTCCCCCTCCACCCCCACCTCACCGTGACCAGGTCCCCCTCCACCCCCACCTCACCGTGACCAGGTCCCCCTCCACCCCCACCCTCACTCTCACCGTGACCAGGTCCCCCTCCACCCCCACCCCCACCTCACCGTGACCAGGTCCCCCTCCACCCCCACCTCACCGTGACCAGGTCCCCCCCCACCCCCACCTCACCGTGACCAGGTCCCCCCCCCACCCCCACCTCACTGTGACCAGGTCCCCCCCCACCCCCACCTCACCGTGACCAGGTCCCCCCCCACCCCCACCTCACCGTGACCAGGTCCCCCTCCACCCCCACCCCCACCCTCACCGTGACCAGGTCCCCCTCCACCCCCGCCCCCACCCCCACCTCACCGTGACCAGGTCCCCCCCCACCCCCACCTCACCGTGACCAGGTCCCCCTCCACCCCCACCTCACCGTGACCAGGTCCCCCTCCACCCCCACCCCCACCCTCACCGTGACCAGGTCCCCCCCCCACCCCCACCTCACCGTGACCAGGTCCCCCCCACCCCCACCTCACCGTGACCAGGTCCCCCCCCACCCCCACCTCACCGTGACCAGGTCCCCCTCCACCCCCACCCTCACTCTCACCGTGACCAGGTCCCCCTCCACCCCCACCTCACCGTGACCAGGTCCCCCTCCACCCCCACCCCCACCCTCACCGTGACCAGGTCCCCCCCCCACCCCCACCTCACCGTGACCAGGTCCCCCCCCACCCCCACCTCACCGTGACCAGGTCCCCCCCCACCCCCACCTCACCGTGACCAGGTCCCCCCCCACCCCCACCTCACCGTGACCAGGTCCCCCTCCACCCCCACCCTCACTCTCACCGTGACCAGGTCCCCCTTCACCCCCACCCTCACTCTCACCGTGACCAGGTCCCCCTCCACCCCCACCTCACCGTGACCAGGTCCCCCTCCACCCCCACCCCCACCCTCACCGTGACCAGGTCCCCCCCCCACCTCACCGTGACCAGGTCCCCCCCCACCCCCACCTCACCGTGACCAGGTCCCCCCCCACCCCCACCTCACCGTGACCAGGTCCCCCCCCACCCCCACCTCACCGTGACCAGGTCCCCCTCCACCCCCACCCTCACTCTCACCGTGACCAGGTCCCCCTCCACCCCCACCCTCACTCTCACCGTGACCAGGTCCCCCTCCACCCCCACCCCCACCCTCACCGTGACCAGGTCCCCCCCCCACCCCCACCTCACCGTGACCAGGTCCCCCCCCACCCCCACCTCACCGTGACCAGGTCCCCCCCCACCCCCACCTCACCGTGACCAGGTCCCCCCCCACCCCCACCTCACCGTGACCAGGTCCCCCTCCACCCCCACCCTCACTCTCACCGTGACCAGGTCCCCCTCCACCCCCACCTCACCGTGACCAGGTCCCCCTCCACCCCCACCCCCACCCTCACCGTGACCAGGTCCCCCCCCCCACCCTCACCTCACCGTGACCAGGTCCCCCCCCACCCCCACCTCACCGTGACCAGGTCCCCCCCCACCCCCACCTCACCGTGACCAGGTCCCCCCCCACCCCCACCTCACCGTGACCAGGTCCCCCTCCACCCCCACCCTCACTCTCACCGTGACCAGGTCCCCCTCCACCCCCACCCTCACTCTCACCGTGACCAGGTCCCCCTCCACCCCCACCTCACCGTGACCAGGTCCCCCTCCACCCCCACCCCCACCCTCACCGTGACCAGGTCCCCCCCCACCCCCACCTCACCGTGACCAGGTCCCCCCCCACCCCCACCTCACCGTGACCAGGTCCCCCCCCACCCCCACCTCACCGTGACCAGGTCCCCCTCCACCCCCACCCTCACTCTCACCGTGACCAGGTCCCCCTCCACCCCCACCCTCACTCTCACCGTGACCAGGTCCCCCTCCACCCCCACCCCCACCCTCACCGTGACCAGGTCCCCCCCCCACCCCCACCTCACCGTGACCAGGTCCCCCCCCACCCCCACCTCACCGTGACCAGGTCCCCCCCCACCCCCACCTCACCGTGACCAGGTCCCCCCCCACCCCCACCTCACCGTGACCAGGTCCCCCTCCACCCCCACCCTCACTCTCACCGTGACCAGGTCCCCCTCCACCCCCACCTCACCGTGACCAGGTCCCCCTCCACCCCCACCCCCACCCTCACCGTGACCAGGTCCCCCCCCCACCCCCACCTCACCGTGACCAGGTCCCCCCCACCCCCACCTCACCGTGACCAGGTCCCCCCCCACCCCCACCTCACCGTGACCAGGTCCCCCCCCCACCCCCACCTCACCGTGACCAGGTCCCCCTCCACCCCCACCCTCACTCTCACCGTGACCAGGTCCCCCTCCACCCCCACCCTCACTCTCACCGTGACCAGGTCCCCCTCCACCCCCACCTCACCGTGACCAGGTCCCCCTCCACCCCCACCCCCACCCTCACCGTGACCAGGTCCCCCCCCCACCCCCACCTCACCGTGACCAGGTCCCCCCCCACCCCCACCTCACCGTGACCAGGTCCCCCCCCACCCCCACCTCACCGTGACCAGGTCCCCCCCCACCCCCACCTCACCGTGACCAGGTCCCCCTCCACCCCCACCCTCACTCTCACCGTGACCAGGTCCCCCTCCACCCCCACCTCACCGTGACCAGGTCCCCCTCCACCCCCACCCCCACCCTCACCGTGACCAGGTCCCCCCCCACCCCCACCTCACCGTGACCAGGTCCCCCTCCACCCCCACCCCCACCTCACCGTGACCAGGTCCCCCTCCACCCCCACCCCCACCTCACCGTGACCAGGTCCCCCTCCACCCCCACCCCCACCTCACCGTGACCAGGTCCCCCTCTACCCCCACCCTCACCGTGACCAGGTCCCCCTCCACCCCCACCCCCACCTCACCGTGACCAGGTCCCCCCCACCCCCACCTCACCGTGACCAGGTCCCCCTCCACCCCCACCCCCACCTCACCGTGACCAGGTCCCCCTCCACCCCCACCCCCACCTCACCGTGACCAGGTCCCCCTCCACCCCCACCCTCACCGTGACCAGGTCCCCCTCCACCCCCACCCCCACCTCACCGTGACCAGGTCCCCCCCACCCCCACCTCACCGTGACCAGGTCCCCCAGGCAGGTGGTGCCGTCCCCCGTGTATCCCGTGCGGCATGAGCACACGCGGAGCCCAGGGCCCACGTGCTCGCACGAGGCCTGCAGGCGGCACGGCCACCACCGTCACCATTACCACCGTCACCACCACCGTCACCATTACCACCACCATCACCAACCACCACCACCATCACCACCATCACCATCGTCACCATTACCAACGTCACCATTACCATCACCATTATCACCATCACCATTACCACCATCACCATTACCACCATCACCATTACCACCATCACCATTACCACCATCATCATTACCACCATCACCATTACCACCGTCACCATTACCACCACCAACCACCACCACCGTCACCATTACCAGCGTCACCATTACCACCATCACCATTACCACCATCGCCAACCACCACCACCGTCACCATTACCACCATCACCATTACCACCATCACCAACCACCACCACCGTCACCATTACCACCATCACCATTAAAACCATCATCATTACCACCATCGCCAACCACCACCACCAACCACCATCACCATTATCACCGTCATCATTACCACCGTCACCATTACCACCATCACCATTACCACCATCATCATTACCACCATCGCCAACCACCATCACCATTACCACCACCATCACCATTACCACCATCACCATCATCATTACCACCATCACCAACCACCATCACCATTACCACCATCACCAACCACCACCACCATCACCACCACAACAACCACCACCATCACCAACCACCACCACCGTCACCATTACCACCATCACCAACCACCATCACCATCATCACCACCATCACAACCACCACCATCAATAACAACCGCCATTCGCCACTAAGTGTCGGTGACATTACCACGCCGCTTGCGCCAGGCTAGGTGTACGTTAATGCCACGTGAAGTGTCGAACGCCCGCTAGCAGCAGGTCACGGGACAGACCCACGTGACTGACTGCGATGAGTGGCCGATGCATCACCTGCGCCCCCTACTGTACCAACTTGCTCTATTTTAGTCACCGGCGCTCCGCTCGTTGTTGTGAGCGTCGCTCCTCTGCCCTCCGTTGTTACTGGAGGGCGACTACCTCCAACTGCCCAGTAGCGTCCTTCACGAGCCTCCTCCACTGAGGCCGATCTTGACACCGCTGGTACCGGTCATTGGCAAGTCCACTCAGCTCCACGTCCTCCTGTACCACATCACTCCATCTCTTCTGTAGCCCATGCCGTGCCCGTCTAGCTCCCTCAATCCGGCCGAACAAAAGCTGTGTCGGCATGCGGTGGCTGGGCATGCGGGCTACATGACCCAGTCAACGCAGCCTTGCCTGCCGGAGGAGCTCACCGATGGGACTTTGTCAAGATCTTTCAAGGATTTGCGAACTCCGTACACCAGCCTTATTAAACCCAGGTTGGATCGTCGACAGTCCAGCCTATATGTTTCTAACAGGCGAAGATGTTCCATTAGCTGGGTCCACGTTTCGCAAGCATATTTGTAAGGGAGGGCATGACCGTGGCCAAGAAGATCCGAAGCTTCGTGTGGAGCGACAGACCAGGTAGTTTCCACACAGCGTTATGCAGCCGATGAAAATAGAAAGCTGCTCAATTGATTTGGAGAGAGACCTCTGCTGTCAGGCCGGCGCTGGCCATGAGCACACCACCACCATCACCACCACCACCACCATCATCATCAACATCACCATCATCACCACCACCATCACAACCAGCAGCACCACCATCACCATCATCACCACCACCATCACAACCAGCATCACCACCACCACCACCATCACCACCATCATCACCACCACCACCATCATCACCACCACCATCACAACCAGCATCACCGCCACCATCACCACCATCATCACCATCACCACCATCATCATCAACATCACCATCATCACCACCACCATCACAACCAGCATCACCACCACCACCATCACCACCATCATCATCAACATCACCATCATCACCACCACCACCACAACCAGCATCACCACCACCACCATCATCACCATCACCATCACAACCAGCATCACCACCACCATCACCACCATCACCACCATCATCATCACCACCATCATCATCAACATCACCATCATCAACACCATCACCACCATCATCACCACCACCATCACAACCAGCATCACCACCACCACCACATCCACCACACCCAGTCACCTTTGCCTCCCTAGTGGCGATGTTCACACACCACACCAGGGACTTAATTAGGGCTGAGTCAATCTAGGGGAGTTCCAGGACCGGTTCAGATATTTATCACCGGTGTTGGCCATGAGTCATCACAATAACCACCGCCACCACCACCACAACAATAGCCACCACAACAATAACCACCACGCAAACTACAGATATGTATCTAATGAGTCATACAGATGTGCATCTAATGATCTGTACAGGTGTGTATCTAATAATCTATACAGGTGTGTATCTAATCATCTATACAGGTGTGTATCTAATCATCTATACAGGTGTGTATCTATCATCTATACAGGTGTGTATCGTATCATCTATACAGGTTTGTATCTAATCATCAATACAGGTGTGTATCTAATGATCTGTACAGGTGTGTATCCAATGATCTGTACAGGTGTGTATCTAATCATCTGTACAGGTGTGTATCTAATCATCTGTACAGGTGTGTATCTAATCATCTATACAGGTGTGAATCCAATGATCTGTACAGGTGTGAATCCAATGATCTGTACAGGTGTGAATCCAATGATCTGTACAAGTGTGAATCCAATTATCTGTACAGGTGTGTATCTAATCATCTATACAGGTGAGTATCTAAACATCTGTACAGGTGTGTATCTAATGATCTGTACAGGTGTGTATCTAATGATCTGTACAGGTGTGTATCTAATTATCTGTACAGGTGTGTATCTATCATCTATACAGGTGAGTATCTAATGATCTATACAGGTGTGTATCTAATCATCTGTACAGGTGTGTATCTAATTATCTGTACAGGTGTGTATCTAATCATCTGTACAGGTGTGTATCTAATCATCAGTACAGGTGTTTATACAATGACCTGTACAGGTGTGTATCCAATGTTCTGTACAGGTGTGTATCTAATCATCTGTACAGGTGTGTATCCAATGATCTGTACAGGTGTGTATACAATGATCTGTACAGGTGTGTATCTAATCATCTGTACAGGTGTGTATCCAATGGTCTGTACAGGTGTGTATCTAATCATCTGTACAGGTGTGTATCTAATGATCTGTACAGGTGTGTATCTAATCATCTATACAGGTGTGAATCCAATCATCTATACAGGTGTGTATCTAATTATCTGTACAGGTGTGTATATAATGATCTGTACAGGTGTGTATCTAATCATCTATACAGGTGTGTATCTAATGATCTGTACAGGTGTGTATCTAATCATCTGTACAGGTGTGTATCTAATCATCTATACAGGTGTGTATCTAATGATCTGTACAGGTGTGTATATAATGATCTGTACAGGTGTGTATCTAATTATCTGCACAGGTGTGTATCTATCATCTGTACAGGTGTGTATCTAATCATCTATACAGGTGTGTATCTAATCATCTATACAGGTGTGTATCTAATGATCTGTACAGGTGTGTATATAATGATCTGTACAGGTGTGTATCTAATTATCTGCACAGGTGTGTATCTATCATCTGTACAGGTGTGTATCTAATCATCTATACAGGTGTGTATCTAATGATCTGTACAGGTGTGTAGCTATACAGGTGGTCTACCTGCACGTGGCACCCGCCGTTATTCTGTCCACAGGGATCCATCTCCTCGCACTGCGTCCCATCGCCACGGAAACCGGGGAGACACGTGCACTGGGCCTGGGGACAGGGAGACACGGGGGTGGGAGGGAGACACGGGGGAGGGAGACACGGGGGAGGGAGACACGGAGGAGTGAGAAATACGGGGGGGGCGGAGACACGGGGGTGGGGGCGAGAACCGGCGGGGGGAGACGGGGAGGAGACAAGGGGCGGGGGGGGGGGAGACACGGGGGTGGGGGAGGAGAAGGGGGGGGGGTGTAGGGACAGGAGACACGGGAAAGACAGGAGGCAGGGTTGTAGGTAGGTGTGGCATATACAGTATGTGTGTGTCAGTCAAGCCCTGGCACCTGGGTCTGTCCCGTGGCCGCCTGCCAGTAGGCGTTTGACACATCACGTGGCCAGAGCCGGACTAAGCTAGTGCGGGGCCTGTTATAAAGGGGCCCTAAATACATAATTAAACTAATAAATATTAAAACACACGTGTTCAACTTGCATAGTAAAGTTTTTTTTTTTCCTATACAGCCAGATAATACGACAAATCGCTAACCTGGCCACCCACCCCCTCGTGTACCGTTCCGGCCTTCATAGGTGCACGCTAACAGCACTTGCCCCTACAGTCTGTTAAGGCTATACGGGGGATCTTTGTCTTTGTATGTGTACGTATCGCGTGTGTGTGTGTGTATGTATGTGTGTCTGTATGTATCGCGTGGCACCTGGTCTGGAGTGATTGGAAGGCATGGGCCAGATCAGCTCAATAACCACTGTAGGGGGCTGCTAGATTTTTGTGCAGCCTATGGGCTTGTAATTACCAACACGCTGTTCCAGCATCGGCGCATCCACACAACATCATGAATGCATGCCGGGTCCAAGCAAGAACATCTGCTGGACTACATAGTGACGGATCAGCGGATGCGAGCTCATGTCCTTGACACCAGGACCAACCGTGGAGCTGATCTGCCCTCTGACCATCGACTTGTGATCTGTAAGATGCGCCTGCCATTCTTCCACTCCGGTGGTGGGTGTACACCCAGGATCCCATTCCAACCTAAGGTGGCCTGGTCTCAGTTAGCTGATGAAAGTTGCAAGCGAGAATTTCATCATCGCTTGCGGCTGGGGTTGGCATCGTCCCCCACTCCTCTTGATGTCGAGGGTAAATGGGCGAGGTTTAGGACTGTGACTCATGCAGTTGCAATGGCTGCTTTAGGTACGCGGTCCAGACCTCCCCAGAGACCCTGGCTGACAGAGGAGGTGCTCAGGATGGTTGAGAAAAAGCGACAGGCCCACTCTCATCGGCTACAGCATCCCACATCAGAGAATGAGGAGGCTTACCGCAGCCTTCACTCGGAGGTTCCGAGAGCCGTGAGGCGCTGCAAGGATGGGTGGTGGTCGCGGGTTGCTGAGGAGATGGAGTCTGTCTCAGTGGCCCGTGATCACAAATCCCTATTTAACTCCATCAAAAAATTAACCTGCAGCGCCACACCTATTACCACCATTAGGGGAAAAAATGGTGATCCAATCTCCGACCCCCAGGAACAGGTTTGCAGATGTGCTGAGCATTTCTGAGGTCCTGGGGGAGGGAAAATCCCTCAGCCAGGAAAACATCGTGGCACAAAGTGGGGATTGCTCTGCTGAGGCTGTCGTGCCTCAAATATTTGAAGAAGTCACCCCCTGTGAGTAGCTGGCTGAGGTGCCATCTGTTGAGGAAGTGCTGAAGGCGATCCAGAGTCTGAGACCAGGAAAGGCACCGGGAAGAGATGATCTCCCAAGCGAAATGCTGAGGGAGGGCGGCGTTTGTGCACAGACTGCCCGACATGACATCATAACAACAGTCTGGACCACTGGAGGGGTTCCGCAGGATTGGAAGGATGCTCTGGTGGTTCCCCTCTTTAAGAAGGGGGACCGCACAGACTGTAACAACTACAGGGGCATCTCACTTCTCAGTGTGCCGGGAAAGGTCCTGGCAAGATTATTCAACATCGCCTTGCTAGGCACGCTGAGGAGAGGCTTGCGGAGCCCCAGTGTGGTTTCAGGAAAGGGCGGTCTTACACGGATGCCATATTTTCTGTCCGTCTGCTACAGCAGAGGTGTAAGGAATTCCAACAAGACCTACATCTCTGCTTTATTGACCAGGTCAAGGCCTATGATACCATCAGTAGGCCTGGGCTCTGGGTTGTTCTTCGTGCTTTCGGAGTCCCTGACCCTCTGCTCACGATCATTAAGGACCTTCATGATAGTGAGCGGGCCCGGGTAAAACTACGTGGCCAGGAGTCAGAGCCATTCCCTATACACCTTGGGGTGTGACATGGATGTCCTCTGGCTACCACATTATTTAACATCTAGTTTGACCACGTAGTTCGTGAAGCCTTCAATAGCTGTACCGGGGGAATTTCCATTTAGTACAGATATAATGGGAGGCTGATCAATACGGTCAAGGGATGGCTCCCTATTGGTCAACAACATTATGTATGCCGATGATTTGGTAATTGCTGCTCATTCAGAGGAGGAGTTGGAGACGCTGCTGCTGAAACTGGAGCATGCCACTAAGAGGTGGGCCTTACCATCAGCCCCACCAAAACTAAGCACCTGCCTGGGTATTTTGTACCATCAGACACTCCACGCCCACAACTCCCAATCGGTGATGGGGCAGTTGTGGAGAGAGTGGAGAGTTTCCCATACCTGGGCAGTGTGCTCATGACTGGCTCCGGTTTAACAGCAGAGGTCTCACTCCGAATCAGTCGAGCGGCAATATCTTTTCATCGGTTGCGTAACGCTGTGTGGAAGCTACCTGGTCTGTCGCTCTGCACGAAGCTTGAGGTCTTCTCGGCCACAGTCATTCCCTCCCTTCTCTACGCTTGCGAAATGTGGACCCCCCTAATGGAGCATCTTCGCCAGTTAGAAACATTTAGGCTGGCCTGCCTATGATCTATCCTGGGTTTAACCAGGCTGGATTGTGTGAGGAGCTCACAAATCCTTGAAAGATCTGGGCAAAGTCCCTTCGGTGAGCTCCTCCGGCAGGCAAGGCTGCATTGGCTGGGTCATGTAGCCCGCATGCCCAGCCACCGCATGCCTAAACAGCTTTTGTTCAGCTGGATCGAGGGGGCTAAACGGGCGCGGCATGGACTAGAGAAGAGATGGAGTGATGTGGTACAGGAGGACGTGGAGCTGAGTGGACTTGCTGATGACTGGTACCAGCGATGTCAAGATCGGCCTCTGTGGAGGAGGCTCGTGAAGGATGCTACTGGGCAGTAGGAGGGTGGAGGAGCAACGCTCACAACAACGAGCGGAGCGCCGGGTGGCTAAAGCACATTAAGTTGGCACAGTAGGGGGCACAGGTGGTGCATCAGCCAGTCATCTCAGTCAGTCGACACGTGGCACCTAGGTCTGCCCCGTGACCTCCTACCAGCGAACGTTCGACACTTCACGTGGCCTGAAGGTACACATGGCCTGGCACAAGCGTCGTGGTGATGTCACCGCCACTTAGTGGCGAATGGCGGTTGTTGTTGTTGTATCGCGTGTGTGTGTATGTGTGTGTGCGTATGTGTGTGTATGTATATGAGCGGTAGTGTAGCGGTTAGCGCGCTGCGCTATGAACCTGGCGACCCGGGTTCGATTCCCGCTCACGGCAGTGACGATTATCTGAACCGGTCCCGGGCCTCCCCTAGGTCGACTCAGCCTCAAATGAGTACCTAGTGCGGTGGATAAAAAACATTGCCACTAGGGAGACAAAGGCTGGTCGGGCGTGGTGCTGGCCACCCACCCCCTCAGAGGACGAGTTGGAGACGCATGAATGTGTGTGTACGTATCGCGTGTGTGTGTGTGTGTGCGTGTATGTATGTGTGTGTACGTATCGCGTGTGTGTGTGTGTGTGCGTGTCCGCGTGCACCTGGCCGGGTCCCAGCGAGGAGCAGCTGGCGTTGCCGCTGCAGCCGTTGCGTCCCGGCTCGGTGCAGAGGTCCCTGGGCATGCACTGCACCCCGTCACCACTCCAACCGGCGGCACACACGCACTGCCTCCCCGCCGGGGCGTCGCGCCGACACACCGCCTGCACCGCCACCACGGGGGGTGAGGGGAGGCGTGGAGCGGTGAGGGGTGAGTCGTGAGCGGGGCCACACAGGCAAGTGGGGCTCTCTTGGTGAGGACCCCAGCTAGTCGTGAAGGGGGTGCGTGGGGGTAGAGACGGGGGTCCCGCCAAATCCCCACCACTCACGTTGGGGTGGCAACCCCCTCTGTCGGGGCCAGCGCAGGGGTCCTGTGGCACGCAGGACAACCCGTCCCCCTTGAAGCCTTCCTGGCACACGCAACTGACACGCACAAAGACAAAGATCCCCCGTGTAGCCTTTAACATACTGCTGTGGCAAGTGCTGTTAGCGAGCACATATGAAGGCCGGCACGGCACACGCACACACTTACACACACTTGCACACACACGTACACCTACACGTACACACAAAGACAAAAAGCCAACGTGTCCCCTTTAACATGCTGTTGGGGCAAGTTCTTTTACCGAGCACCTATGAAGGCCGGTTACGGCACACGAGGGGGTGGGTGGCCAGCACCACGCCCGACCGCCTTTGTCTCCCCAGTGGCGATGTTTACACACTGCACAAGGTACTCATTTGAGGCTGAGTCGACCTAGGGGAGGCCCAAGACCGGTTCAGATCATCGTCACTGGTGTTGGCCGTGAGTGGGAATCGCAGCGTAGCGCTAACCGCAACACTACCACTCCCCTACATACACACACGTACACACACACCTACACACACAACAACCGCCATTCGCCACGAAGTGGTGGTGACGTAACCACGGTGCATGTGCCAGGCTATGTGCACGTTAAGGCCACGTGAAGTGTTGAACGCCAAATAGTGTGGGAGCCAGAGGACATCCCTGTCACACCCCAAGGTGAACAGGGAATGGTTCCGACTCCCAGCCACGTAGTTTTACCCGGGCCCGCTCACCATCATGAAGGTCCTTAATGATCGTGAGCAGAAGGTCCGGGTTCTCTGAAAGCACGAAGAACAACCCAGAGCCCAGGCCTACTGATGGTATCATAGGCGTTGACCAGGTCAATAAAACAGAGATGTAGGTCTTGCTGGAATTCCCTACACCTCTGCTGTAGCAGACGGACAGAAAATATGGCATCCGTGCAGGACCACCCTTTCCTGAAACCGCATTGGGGCTCAGCAAGCCTCTCCTCAGCGTGCCTGGCAAGGCGATGCTGAATCATTATTTCCAGCACCTTTCCCGGCACACTGAGGAGGGAGATGCCCCTGTAGTTACAGTATGTGCGGTCCCCCTTCTTAAAGAGGGGGACCACCAGGGCATCTTCCTCCCTCAACATTTCGCTTGGGAGAACATCTCTGTCTGGTGCTTTTCCTGATCTCAGACTCTGGATCGCCTTCTGTACGTCCTCGACAGATGGCACCTCAGCCAGCCACTCACAGGGGGTGACTTCTTCCACTATTTGAGGCAGCCTCAGCAGGGTCATCCCCACTTTGCCCCATGATGTTTTCCAGGCTGAGGGATTTCCCTTCCCCCAGGACCCCACAGAAATGCTCAGCTCCTCATTCTTTGACGTGGGATGCTGTAGACAATGAGAGTGGGCCTGTCGCTTTTTCTCAGCCAGCCTGAACACCTCCTCTGTCAGCAAGGATCTCTGGGGAGGTCTGGGCTGCCTACCCAAAGCAGCCATTGCAGCTGCATGAGCCACAGTCCTAAACCTCGCACATTCCCCCTCTGCATCAGGAGTAAGGGACTATGCCAACCACAGCTGCAAGCGATGAGGAAATTCTTGCTTGCAACTTTCATCAGCTAGCTGAGACCAGGCCACTGTGGGTTTGAATAGGGACCTGGGTGTACACCCACCACTGAAGTGGAAAAATGGCAGGCGCTTCTAACAGATGACAAGCTGATAGTCAATGGACAGATCAGCTCCACGGTAGATCCTGGTGTGAAGGACATGGGCCCGTATCCGCCGTTCCATCACTATGTAGTCCAGCAGATGTTATTGCTTGGACAAGGCGTGCGCATCCATGATGTGTGGATGCGCCGATGCCGGAAGAGAGTGTTGATAATTACAAGCCCATGGGCTGCACAAAAGTTAAGCAGCCTTCTACCGTTGTTATTGAGCTGATCTGGCCCATGCCCTCCAATCACTCCAGACCAGGTGCCACCATCATGACCAACTCGGGCATTAAAGTCACCCAACAGGATGACTCTATCCCGAGGGAGCACTTTAGCTAGCACCTGTGACAGGAGGTCATCGAAGGCATCTGACTCATCGGCCTTGCCTGCATCCCTCCACTAATGTTAAACTTCGGTGGGGGCAAAAGTAACCACGACCACCACTCCTCACCTCTGGTTGATGGGAAGGTGAGCCCAAAGTAGCCTGGGGCTTACAGCTTCCCACACCTCACCACCACACTCCAAAGGCCCCTTCATTCTTTTGTTTACCAGAGCTACTCCCTGTTGTTTGGCAGTCTGCTGCCCCGAGTAGAAGACTGTCCACCCCTCACGGTTGCAGCATCCAGAATAGGTCCACCGGACCTCCTGAATACCGCAGAGATCCAGGTGGTACCGGTCCAGCTCCCGACAGAGTAGTAGCAGCAGCCTCTCCTCCGCAGTGAGCATTCGAACATTCCACGTGGCCACACGAAGTGGCTTTTCGTTGTTTCTGGAGGAACCCTGAAGGAAAAGATTCAATCTCCTGGCTCCGCCAAGTGGGGTTTGGCCAGGAGATGTCACAGATGCCTGTCCCTCACAGGGCCGCCGGAACGAGCTTAACTGGATATTTATTTCGTGGACTTGTGGTAATTAATTGAGGGTGGAGGGGTTATCAGCCCCTCGCACCCGTCCAGAGCCCCCTTTGGCCGCTGTGGTGGCTACAAACGCCACGAGGGCAATGACCAATCGAAATTGACCCTCCCCCCCACGGCACTGCTCACCAGAGCGTTACCGTCACGTCCTGCATCAACGAGGAGGTAAGGAGTTGTTTTGCCGGACTACACACGCCTACACCCACACCTACACACACACCTACACACACACACACACACCTACACACGCCTACACCCACACCTACACACACACACCTACACACACACCTACACACACACACACCTACACACACACACACCTACACCCACACCCACACCTACACACACACATACCTACACACACACACACCTACACACACACACCCACCCACACCTATACACACACACACCTACACACACACACCTACACACACACACACACACCTACACACACCTACACACGCCTACACCTACACACACACACACCTACACACACACACACCTACACACGCCTACACCCACACCTACACACCTACACACACCTACACACACACACACGTACCCGTGGACGCCATCGTCACGCGCCATGCACTCTGCGTGCGCGTGGCAGTGCCTTGGTGGCGTGGCGCCACAGCGCGCCGTCTGCTGGTCGCACAGCGCGCCCGTGTAGCCGCGCTGGCACGAGCCCGAGCGGCACATGCCGCCGCTGCCCGGCCGGTTGTCGCACTCCCCGTGCAGGCACTGGCACCCTGCGGGGCGAGCAGAGCGAGGGATGGAGAGAAGAGCGGGCGTGTGGCTCCGTCTGCCTCTCTCTGACTACTGTGTCTCTCCTTCACTCTCCCTCTGTGTCTCCTGCGCCGAATCTGTCTCTCCGTCACTCTGCGTGCGTCTCTGCTGCACTCACTGTATGCTTTTTGAGTGCGAGTCAGGTGTGTGAATGTACAGGTGAGCGAGTACGCAGGTGAACGAGCGAGTGAGTCAGTGCGAAAGTGAGCCAGTGAGTGCACAGGTGAGCGAGCGAGTGAGTACGCAGGTGAGTCAGTGAGTGAGTCAGTGCGCAAGTGAGCCAGTGAGTGCACAGGTGAGCGAGCGAGTGAGAACGCAGGGGAGTGATCGAGCGAGCGCGTAGGTGAGCGAGCGAGCGCGCAGGTGAGCGAGCGAGCAGGTGAGCGAGCGAGTGAGTCAGCGTGCAGGTGAGCGAGCGAGTGAGTCAGCGTGCAGGTGAGTGAGCGAGCGAGTCAGCGCGCAGGTGAGCGAGCGAGCAGGTGAGCGAGCAAGTGAGTCAGCGTGCAGGTGAGCGAGCGAGCGAGTCAGCGTGCAGGTGAGCGAGCGAGCGAGTCAGCGTGCAGGTGAGCGAGCGAGCGAGTCAGCGTGCAGGTGAGCGAGTTAGCGAGCGCGTAGGGGCCCCGGGCCACCACGCCACAACGGGCAGCCGCACCCGTGTCGCAGTTGGGGCCGTGGCGGTCGGGCCGCTTGCACACGTGGCACGCGGAGCCCTCGAATCGCTCATCGCACACGCACGTCCCGTCCCCCTGCAGCCCATCCATGCACTGCACACGCACGCACACAGACAAAGATACCCCGTGTAGCCTGAGCAGACTGTCGGGGGAAAGTGCCACGCAGCAAGCACCCATGAAGGCCACCACAGCACACGAGGGGGTGGGTGGCCAGCACCCCGCGCCCGGCCATCTTAGTCTCCCCCAGTGGCGATGTTGACACACCGCACTGGGCATTAATGTGAGGGTTGAGTTGACCTTGGGGAGGCCCAGGAGCGGTACAGATAATCGTCGCTGGTGTCCGCCTCACCTTCCCGTGGTTGTAGCAGGGTGTCGAGAAGCCTCCCGGGCACGGCTTGCAGTCCGGCCCAAAGAATCCCTTGCAGCACATGGGCTTCTGTGGACGGGGGCGAAGAGGTGAGGAGTTAGTGACGAGGTGGGTTAGGAGGTACACGTTGCCAGCGCAATTACAATCGCTCTCGGGTGCCGTCGCTTTACGGGTTGAATATTGTTTGTTGAAATTTTCCATTGGTCGTAAAAAAAAAAAATCACTCTTCTTCTGTCGCGTTTGCCTGTGGATCCATGCGGCCCAGTGGCGTTTGTCCTCTCGAAAGCCGGCTCCACATTTAAGCAATCGGTTGCGCCACCAGATCGCTCTCAGAATCATCGTCGCAACTATGATCGCAATCAAACTAAGCTATTTTTTGTTATTTTCCCAGGTAAGGCCCCACTGAGCTATGTAGCTCTTTTTCAGAAGTGAGCTCGCCACAAATGATAGGTCAACGAAGTCGCTTATCACGTGGACACGTATAGCGGCCAAATAATCTAAACACGCGACGTTGATTTTAAATGTGGAGAGAAAAACCGGAGAAAAATCCACGCGTCCATGGGGAGAACACACAAACTCCAAATATACAGCAGCAGGAGTCAGGGTCGCGATCGAACCCACGGCCTCCTGTAGACCAGGCGAGGTAGTTAACATCTCCTAGCCACTGTGATGATGATGAGAGAGAAAGACACGCAAACACCAAATATACAGCAGCAGGCGTCAGGGTCGTGGTCGACCCCACGACCCCCTGTAGACCAGGCGAGGTAGTTAACATCTCCTAGCCACCGTGATGATGGTGAGAGAGAGACACAGACTCCACATAGACCTCCTGTAGACCAGGCGAGGTAGTTAACATCTCCTAGCCACCGTGATGATGGTGAGAGAGAGACACAGACTCCACATAGACCTCCTGTAGACCAGGCGAGGTAGTTAACATCTCCTAGCCACCGTGATGATAGTGAGAGAGAGACACAGACTCCACATAGACCTCCTGTAGACCAGGCGAGGTAGTTAACATCTCCTAGCCACCGTGATGATGGTGAGAGAGAGACACAGACTCCACATAGACCTCCTGTAGACCAGGCGAGGTAGTTAACATCTCCTAGCCACCGTGATGATGGTGAGAGAGAGACACAGACTCCACATAGACCTCCTGTAGACCAGGCGAGGTAGTTAACATCTCCTAGCCACCGTGATGATAGTGAGAGAGAGACACAGACTCCACATAGACCTCCTGTATACCAGGCGAGGTAGTTAACATCTCTTAGCCACCGTGATGATGGTGAGAGAGAGACACAGACTCCACATAGACCTCCTGTATACCAGGCGAGGTAATTAACATCTTCCAGCCACCGTCACAACCACCGCCCGCGGGCTGCTTTGTCCACGTCTGAGCCAGTGGTTGCGCAACGACGACAACAACAAAGAGCACGTGGGTGTCTGGCCACGCCCCTCTAGAGCAGAGCCCCACCCCCTTTATCCTGATTAACACCCTGACACCCCACCCCCAACCCCACCCCCCACCAACCCACCCACGTCAGGATCATTGACGACCAATCGTAGCTGTGCAAATGTTTTACATGGTGACGAAGAACTCCGCTATTACAAATGCATTTGGCGATGCTGCTGAGTCAGCAGCGGTGCTGACTCTCGCGTCGCTCATCGCCGGACAACGGGGGTCGGGAGTCGAACCGTGACGGTGTAGTTGCAGTATCGCGCACAGCCCTGCTGGGACATTAACATCCCCATGATGTCCTTCATGTAAATGCAGCCTCGCAGGAAGTTGTCCTGAGTGCGGGAAACACAGGGGCGGGGGGCGGGACACAGGGGCAGGGGGCGGGACACAGGGGCAGGGGGCGGGATGCACAGGGGCAGGGGGCGGGACACAGGGGTAGGGGGCGGGAGGCACAGGGGCGGGGGCGGAACACAGGGGCAGGGGGCGGGATACAGGGGCAGGGGGCGGGACACGGGGGGGACACAGGGGCAGGGGGCGGGACACAGGGGCAGGGGGCGGGACAGAGGGCCAGGGGGCGGGACACAGGGGTAGGGGGCGGGACGCACAGGGGCAGGGGGAGCATCACAATTAGAACATTCAGGGTCTGGGAGGAACGATTGGAGGAACAGTTGGAGAGACAATGGAGAGACAATGAAAGAGACATTGGAGAGACATTGGAAAGAATGGAGAGACAATGGAGAGACATTGGAGAGACAATGGAGAGACAATGGAGAGACAACGGAGAGATATTGGAGAGATATTGGAGAGATAATGGCGAGACAATAGATAGACAATCGAGAGACATTGGAGAGACAATGGAGAGACAATGAAAGAGACATTGGAGAGACATTGGAAAGAATGGAGAGACAATGGAGAGACATTGGAGAGACAATGGAGAAACAATGGAGAGACAATGGAGACACAATGGAGAAACACTGGAGAGACAATGGAGTGACAATGGAGAGACAATGGAGAGGCAATGGACAGACAATGGAGAGACATTGGAGAGACAATAGAAAGACAATGGAGAGACATTGCAGAGACAATGGAGAGACAATGAAGAGACAAAGGAGAGAAAATGGACAGACAATGGAGAGACATTGGAGAAACAATGGAGAGACATTGGAGAGACAATGGAGAGACAATGGAGAGACAAAGGAGAGAAAATGGACAGACAATGGAGAGACATTGGAGAGACAATGTAGAGACAATGGAGAGATAATGGAGAGACAATGGAGAGACATTGGAGAGGCAATGGAGAGACAATGGAGAGACAATGGAGAGACAGAGGGAGAGTTGTTGAGGGTTGTTCTCACCAAAGGGACGCTGCCTTTGGGACAGGTCTGCATTTGCACTGACGAACAGCTGACACAGAGGCCCTGCAGACACACAGAGTACACACAGCACACACACACAGATGATACACACACAGAGTACACACAGCACACACACAGAGTACACACAGGACACACACAGAGTACACACAGCACACACACAGAGTACACACAGCACACACACACGCAGAGTACACACAGCACACACACAGTACACACACACACAGTACACACACACACACACAGTATATACACACACACACACAGCACACACATACACAGTACACACAGCACACACACAGCACACACACACACAGTACACACAGCACACACACACAGAGTACACACACACAGTACACACACACAGTACACACACACAGCACACACACACACAGTACACACAGCACACACACAGCACACACACAGTACACACAGCACACACAGCACACACACAGTACACACAGCACACACACAGAGTACACACACACAGTACAACACACACAGTACACACACACACAGTACACACACTCACACAGAGTACACACACACACACACAGATGACACACACGCAGTACACACACACACAGTACACACAGCACACACACAGCACACACACACAGTACACACAGCACACACACACAGAGTACACACACACACACACAGTACACACACACAGTACACACACACACACAGATGACACACACACACAGTACACACACACAGTACACACAGTACACACACACAGCACACACACACACAGAGTACACACACACACACAGAGTACACACACACACAGAGTACACACACACAGTACACACACAGATGACACACACACACACACAATCCCCACGTCCCCGTGTCCTCGCCTCCCCACGCTCTTTCCCGCCTCGCCCCAGACCCCTGTCACCTGCACCCGCAGGTTCCCGCTTCCCATGCCCAGCGTCCCCCCCACACCTCCCCCCCACGTCCCCCCCACCCCTCCCCACGTCCCCCCCACCCGTCCCCACGTCCCCCCCACACCTCCCCCCCACGTCCCCCCCACACCTCCCCCCCCACGTCCCCCCCACCCGTCCCCACGTCCCCCCCACACCTCCCCCCCACGTCCCCCCCACACCTCCCCCCCACGTCCCCCCCACACCTCCCCACGTCCCCCCCACACCTCCCCACGTCCCCCCACACCTCCTCCCCACGTCCCCCCCACACCTCCTCCCCACGTCCCCCCCCACACCTCCTCCCCACGTCCCCCCCACCCCTCCCCACGTCCCCCCCCCACACCGCCCCGAGGGTCCCCGCGTGCCCCCTCCCTCCTGCGCGTCCACGGGAGGATGGGCAGGAGGGAGGTCCCCCCCCTCCCCCCAACCCCCCCCCCCATCCCTCCCCCCGCACCCCTCCCCCACACCCACGTGTTTGACGTGGTGCGTCGTCTGGTCGCAGCGGTGCGGCAGGATGGGCAGGATGGAGGGCGGCACCAGCACGCCGTCCAGCACGTGAAGCCGCCCGTTCTTCGCCAGCACGTCGGCCTCCATCAGCGGGGCGGCGTCATCGCCCAGCAGGATCCGCCCCTGGGGGTCAACCACCGGGTCACTCGCCGCGGCGCTCGCTCACCGAGTTGCTCGCTCACCGAGTCACTCGCCGGGTCGCTCGCTCACCGAGTCGCTCGTTCACCGAGTCACTCACTCACCGAGTCGCTCGCTCACCGAGTCGCTCGCTCACCGAGTCGCTCGCTCAACGAGTCACTCGCCGGGTCGCTCGCTCACCGAGTCGCTCGCTCACCGGGTCGCTCGCTCACCGAGTCGCTCACTCACCGAGTCACTCGCTCACCGAGTCACTCACCGAGTCGCTCGCTCACCGGGCCACTCGCCGGGTCGCTCGCTCACCGAGTCGCTCGCTCACCGAGTCACTCACTCACCGAGTCGCTCGCTCACCGAGTCGCTCGCTCACCGAGTCGCTCGCTCACCGGGTTGCTCGCTCACCGAGTCACTCGCTCACCAAGTCACTCGCTCACAGAGTCACTCGCTCACCGAGTCACTCGCTCACCGGGTCGCTCGCTCACCGAGTCGCTCGCTCACCGAGTCGCTCACTCACCGAGTCACTCGCTGGGTGGCTCACTCACCGAGTCACTCGCTCACCGAGTCACTCGCTCACCGAGTCGCTCGCTCACCGAGTCGCTCGCTCACCGAGTCGCTCACTCACCGAGTCACTCACTCACCGAGTCACTCGCTAACTGAGTCACTCGCCGGGTCGCTAACTCACCGAGTCGCTCGCTCACCGAGTCACTCGCTCACCGAGTCGCTCGCTCACCGAATCACTCACTCACTGAGTCGCTCGCTCACCGAATCACTCACTCACCGAGTCGCTCGCTCACCGAGTCGCTCGCTCACCGAGTCACTCGCTCACCGAGTCGCTCGCTCACCGAGTCACTCGCTCACCGAGTCGCTCGCTCACCGAGTCACTCGCCGGGTCACTCACTCGCCGGGTCGCTCGCTCACCGGGTCACTCGCTCACCGAGTCACTCACTCACCACTCACTCACCGAGTCACTCGCTCACCGAGTCACTCGCTCACCGAGTCACTCACACACCGAGTCACTAACTTGGCAGTATCCGGTACTGTGGTGAGCCACCCATCACTGACTGAGTCACTCACCCAGTTTCTCACCAGGCCTGTCCTTTTCCGTGCAGGCACTTTACCTTCAAAGTAACGTGAACCCTCAGTGCTGTCATCCAAATGTCACTCTCCTCACCACCACCACCACAACAGCAACAACAACAGCAGCAACAACAACAGCAGCAGCAGGGCTCATCACTCCCACACGGGCCAACCGCAATGCGAGCACCAACCCTTGCATCGTCTCGACCCTGCTCTGCCATTGGCTCGTCGGTGCCAGCGTGTGATTGGGCAGTTAGGTATGGAAGCCACGCCCCTGACCCATCGCCCCGCCCCCCCCCCTGATGGCCCCGCCCCCTTACCTGGCTGCTCACGTTGATGGCCACGAACTGGTTCGCGAGGGTTCGAATGCGAGGGGTGGACACCAGACCTCCGACCTCCATCTACACGCACAAAGACAAAGGTTTACCCCCCACCCGTGTAGCCTCAGCAGGCCGTTGGGGCAAGTGCCGTCGAGCGAGTGCCGGTGGACGGGTGGTCGGTCCCGCGCCCCCCGCCGAAGCCGCCTTTGTCTCCCCGGCGCCTTCCCGGTGCTCACGCACGCGACGGGTGCTCGCTTAAGGCACGTCGCTCGTCACCGGTGGCCGTGAGTGGGGTTCGTGGCGCGGCGCGCTAACCGCGGCGCCACCACTCGCAGCGCGACTCGGGGGCCGTCCATAAATGACGTCACGCCATTTTGGAGGATTTTTGACCCCCCCCCCCCTTCGTCACACGACGTTACATAAAGTCAGACCCCACTTAAAATATGACGTCACAAAGCTCTGCCCCCTCCCCCCCCCAAACAAAATTAAACATGCTCACAAATCGCTTTAAACTATTGTCATTGTAGTGCGTGTTTAATGTGGCGCTGCACTCTGATGTTGTAGGAGAAAACTTCTATTAAAAAGTCTGTTTAATTAAGAAGAACGTGTTGTCTATATTTCGACTTAAAGCTTTCGTGACTGCAGGGATTCATATTCTTTCGGTAAAGTCGCGTAGAAGGGAAATAATAAAATAATAAACATTATAAAACAATAAAATTCTCACGACGTTTGGATTGCTGTGGTTTTCACACCTGATGATGATTGCTTGTGTTGCAATCGAAACGTCGTGAGAATTTAATTGTTTTATTTTTATCATTTCATTATTTCCCTTCTACGTGACTTTACCGAAAGAACCGAGAATAATGTGTTGTTTATATTTATTTAAAGTTGCGCATTTTTATATGACGTCACATTTATCAACCCCCCCACCCCCCCCATCGTCACAAATGTCTCACCCCCCCTCCCCTCCTAGGTGCGTGACGTCATTTATGGACGGCCCCTTGACAACGTGCGGACGCGCGCACACACGTGACGTCCACTGTTCACAGACGTGAGTGGGTGGTGGGGGTTCTGTGGGCAGCGGTCAGTGTAGTAGTGGTCAGTGTAGTAGTAGTAGTGGTCAGTGTAGTAGTAGTCAGTGTAGTAGTAGTAGTGGTCAGTGTAGTAGTAGTGGTCAGTGTAGTAGTAGTAGTGGTCAGTGTAGTAGTAGTCAGTGTAGTAGTAGTAGTGGTCAGTGTAGTAGTAGTAGTGGTCAGTGTAGTAGTAGTCAGTGTAGTAGTAGTAGTGGTCAGTGTAGTAGTAGTCAGTGTAGTAGTAGTAGTGGTCAGTGTAGTAGTAGTGGTCAGTGTAGTAGTAGTGGTCAGTGTAGTAGTAGTAGTAGTGGTCAGTGTAGTAGTAGTGGTCAGTGTAGTAGTAGTGGTCAGTGTAGTAGTAGTAGTGGTCAGTGTAGTAGTAGTAGTGGTCAGTGTAGTAGTAGTCAGTGTAGTAGTAGTCAGTGTAGTAGTAGTAGTGGTCAGTGTAGTAGTAGTAGTGGTCAGTGTAGTAGTAGTGGTCAGTGTAGTAGTAGTAGTAGTGGTCAGTGTAGTAGTAGTAGTGGTCAGTGTAGTAGTAGAAGTGATCAGTGTAGTAGTAGTCAGTGTAGTAGTAGTAGTCAGTGTAGTAGTAGTGGTCAGTGTAGTAGTAGTAGTGGTCAGTGTAGCAGTAGTAGTGGTCAGTGTAGTAGTAGTAGTGGTCAGTGTAGTAGTAGTCAGTGTAGTAGTAGTAGTCAGTGTAGTAGTAGTAGTCAGTGTAGTAGTAGTGGTCAGTGTAGTAGTAGTAGCGGTCAGTGTAGTAGTCAGTGTAATAGTAGTAGTGGTCAGTGTAGTAGTAGTAGTAGCGGTCAGTGTAGTAGTAGTAGTGGTCAGTGTAGTAGTGGTAGTGGTCAGTGTAGTAGTAGTAGTGGTCAGTGTAGTAGTGGTAGTGGTCAGTGTAGTAGTAGTAGTAGCAGTCAGTGTAGTAGTAGTAGTAGTGGTCAGTGTAGTAGTGGTAGTGGTCAGTGTAGTAGTAGTAGTCAGTGTAGTAGTAGTAGTCAGTGTAGTAGTAGTCAGTGTAGTAGTAGTAGTAGTCAGTGTAGTAGTAGTAGTGGTCAGTGTAGTAGTAGTAGTCAGTGTAGTAGTAGTAGTAGCGGTCAGTGTAGTAGTGGTCAGTGGAGTAGTAGTAGTAGTGAGTGTAGTAGTAGTAGTGAGTGTAGTAGTAGTAGTGAGTGTAGTAGTAGTAGTGAGTGTAGTAGTAGTAGTGAGTGTAGTAGTAGTAGTGAGTGTAGTAGTAGTAGTCAGTGTAGTAGTAGTAGTCAGTGTAGTAGTAGTAGTGGTCAGTGTAGTAGTAGTAGTCAGTGTAGTAGTAGTAGTAGTGGTCAGTGTAGTAGTAGTCAGTGTAGTAGTAGTAGTAGTGGTCAGTGTAGTAGTAGTGGTCGGTGTAGTAGTAGTCAGTGTAGTAGTAGTAGTGGTCAGTGTTGTAGTAGTAGTCAGTGTAGTAGTAGTAGCGGTCAGTGTAGTAGTGGTCAGTGTAGTAGTAGTGGTCAGTGTAGTAGTAATAGTAGTAGTCAGTGTAGTAGTAGTAGTGGTCAGTGTAGTAGTAGTGGTCAGTGTAGTAGTAATAGTAGTAGTCAGTGTAGTAGTAGTAGTGGTCAGTGTAGTAGTAGTGGTCAGTGTAGTAGTAATAGTAGTAGTCAGTGTAGTAGTAGTCAGTGTAGTAGTAGTAGTCAGTGTAGTAGTAGTAGTGGTCAGTGTAGTAGTAGTAGTGGTCAGTGTAGTAGTGGTCAGTGTAGTAGTAGTGGTCAGTGTAGTAGTAATAGTAGTAGTCAGTGTAGTAGTAGTAGTGGTCAGTGTAGTAGTAATATTAGTAGTCAGTGTAGTAGTAGTAGTGGTCAGTGTAGTAGTGGTCAGTGTAGTAGTAGTAGTAGCGGTCAGTGTAGCAGTAGTGGTCAGTGTAGTAGTAGTAGTGGTCAGTGTAGTAGTGGTCGGTGTAGTAGTAGTAGTAGTAGCGGTCAGTGTAGTAGTAGTGGTCAGTGTAGTAGTGGTAGTGGTCAGTGTAGTAGTAGTCAGTGTAGTAGTAGTGGTCAGTGTAGTAGTAATAGTAGTAGTCAGTGTAGTAGTAGTAGTGGTCAGTGTAGTAGTAATATTAGTAGTCAGTGTAGTAGTAGTAGTGGTCAGTGTAGTAGTGGTCAGTGTAGTAGTAGTAGTAGTAGCGGTCAGTGTAGTAGTAGTGGTCAGTGTAGTAGTAGTAGTGGTCAGTGTAGTAGTAGTAGTCAGTGTAGTAGTAGTGGTCAGTGTAGTAGTAGTAGTAGTGGTCAGTGTAGTAGTAGTAGTGGTCAGTGTAGTAGTAGTGGTCAGTGTAGTAGTAGTAGTAGTGGTCAGTGTAGTAGTAGTCAGTGTAGTAGTAGTAGTGGTCAGTGTAGTAGTAGTAGCGGTCAGTGTAGTAGTAGTAGTGGTCAGTGTAGTAGTGGTAGTGGTCAGTGTAGTAGTAGTAGCAGTCAGTGTAGTAGCGGTCAGTGTAGTAGTAGTAGTGGTCAGTGTAGTAGTAGTAGCGGTCAGTGTAGTAGTAGTAGTGGTCAGTGTAGTAGTGGTAGTGGTCAGTGTAGTAGTAGTAGCAGTCAGTGTAGTAGTAGTAGTGGTCAGTGTAGTAGTAGTGGTCAGTGTAGTAGTAGTGGTCAGTGTAGTAGTAGTAGTAGTGGTCAGTGTAGTAGTAGTGGTCAGTGTAGTAGTAGTAGTGGTCAGTGTAGTAGTAGTAGTGGTCAGTGTAGTAGTAGTCAGTGTAGTAGTAGTCAGTGTAGTAGTAGTAGTGGTCAGTGTAGTAGTAGTAGTGGTCAGTGTAGTAGTAGTGGTCAGTGTAGTAGTAGTAGTAGTGGTCAGTGTAGTAGTAGTAGTGGTCAGTGTAGTAGTAGAAGTGATCAGTGTAGTAGTAGTCAGTGTAGTAGTAGTAGTCAGTGTAGTAGTAGTGGTCAGTGTAGTAGTAGTAGTGGTCAGTGTAGTAGTAGTAGTGGTCAGTGTAGTAGTAGTAGTGGTCAGTGTAGTAGTAGTCAGTGTAGTAGTAGTAGTCAGTGTAGTAGTAGTAGTCAGTGTAGTAGTAGTGGTCAGTGTAGTAGTAGTAGCGGTCAGTGTAGTAGTCAGTGTAATAGTAGTAGTGGTCAGTGTAGTAGTAGTAGTAGCGGTCAGTGTAGTAGTAGTAGTGGTCAGTGTAGTAGTGGTAGTGGTCAGTGTAGTAGTAGTAGTGGTCAGTGTAGTAGTGGTAGTGGTCAGTGTAGTAGTAGTAGTAGCAGTCAGTGTAGTAGTAGTAGTAGTGGTCAGTGTAGTAGTGGTAGTGGTCAGTGTAGTAGTAGTAGTAGTCAGTGTAGTAGTAGTAGTCAGTGTAGTAGTAGTCAGTGTAGTAGTAGTAGTAGTCAGTGTAGTAGTAGTAGTGGTCAGTGTAGTAGTAGTAGTCAGTGTAGTAGTAGTAGTAGCGGTCAGTGTAGTAGTGGTCAGTGGAGTAGTAGTAGTAGTTAGTGTAGTAGTAGTAGTGTAGTAGTAGTCAGTGTAGTAGTAGTGGTCAGTGTAGTAGTAGTAGTCAGTGTAGTAGTAGTAGTCAGTGTAGTAGTAGTAGTCAGTGTAGTAGTAGTCAGTGTAGTAGTAGTGGTCAGTGTAGTAGTAGTAGTCAGTGTAGTAGTAGTGGTCAGTGTAGTAGTAGTCAGTGTAGTAGTAGTAGTAGTGGTCAGTGTAGTAGTAGTGGTCAGTGTAGTAGTAGTCAGTGTAGTAGTAGTAGTGGTCAGTGTTGTAGTAGTAGTCAGTGTAGTAGTAGTAGCGGTCAGTGTAGTAGTGGTCAGTGTAGTAGTAGTGGTCAGTGTAGTAGTAATAGTAGTAGTCAGTGTAGTAGTAGTAGTGGTCAGTGTAGTAGTAGTGGTCAGTGTAGTAGTAATAGTAGTAGTCAGTGTAGTAGTAGTAGTGGTCAGTGTAGTAGTAGTGGTCAGTGTAGTAGTAATAGTAGTAGTCAGTGTAGTAGTAGTCAGTGTAGTAGTAGTAGTCAGTGTAGTAGTAGTAGTGGTCAGTGTAGTAGTAGTAGTGGTCAGT